AACTATCATTATTGATCTTGTTATTCACAGGCATACAGTTAGCAACCCCGTCCTAGAAGATTCAACGGTCTGAGATAAAGACATGAAAAATAACAAAGAATACAATATATCGGATGCTAATAAATATAGTCGCATGACATTTTAAGAACCTTCACTAACACCGAAAATTATTGGCAACCTATAGTTCATCGCAAGAAAACTATAGCTAATAAAACTATCAACTGAGTAAATCCTTTCTCTCGTTTGTAGCTTTGTGACAGTACAAATCAGACTTTACTAGCCTTTACAAAATTTGCCAACGTGGCAGGGTTTTCTATTGTGAATTCAGGCTCTATTGCGCGTTCAAGTGGTGACGACAAATAACGGATCATTGAAAATTTTAATAATAAAAGATATATGATGCCAAATACATATTAATATCGCTGTTTTAAAATATGTATTTGAGAAAGACATAATGTTTTTTTTTTATTGCGACAAACAAAATACTCTCATCTTCAAAAGCAAAATTCTATACCTTGAGCACCCTTTTGTAGACTATCAATATATATCCTTATAAAAAACTTTCAGGGATAGCATAAGATTTACATAATAATCCCGGTGGAGAGGACGGACGATTAGATGGATTAATCATATTGCAAACCACGGCCTCTCGTCCGGTCCATGCCGGGTACGGGAATAAAAGACAGGTAATCCAAAAAAGTACCTCAAATTTAGTTTACTAAAAAGACTCAGTAATACAGACTTGCTCTTCAAAATTTCCGAGTCACAAGTCTATCCCATCAAAAATAAACATCACAAGTTAAGATAATTTTTATCGATAGAATTCATCAAATTGTTTGGCGTGATGAAATTTTTATATTCACTTTTCTGACGAATTTTTTCCTGATGCATTCTCGCTTCCCCTATCCACCAAAAATCACAAAGCAAAATAACTTCAGATTACCAATAATATTATGCTTCACAACCGCAAGACAAAATTATGAAATTAATAAATTCGGATATAGCATGACCTAATTAATATATTACAAATTTCCTGTTTTTAATATCTCATCACATGGGTGGGCAGACATGCGATACAAAAATAACTTTTCAAACTCGACCCGATTTGCTAGGTTGTTTTCTTTTGTTATTTCCCGTCACTGAAGAAGATAATAAATTCCGTTATGCTCATCCGTAACTATCATTATAGATCTTGTAAGCTATTCACAGTCATACAATTAGCAACCCCGCCCAAGAAGATTCAACGGTCTGAGATAAAGACAGGAAAAATAACAAAGAATACAAACCGAAACATTATATGTCGTTGCTCGGAAGCAACCGTTATCATAATCCATACAATGACGACATATACGATAGCGTGTGTACTAACGCACGTAAATTTAAATTAAATATATAAATATTGTAATGCCATTAAATCAACAAAACATTATTTAGTTATTAGAAATTATTAATTAGAAGTTAGTTAGTTATTAATTAGTTATTAGAATTTTAATTTAAAGTAGGATTTATATAATTGCAAATCTCCGATAACCTCATGATGGAAGCTATAGAATGACCTGATCCATTTCCACAATGTCCTTACTTACACTTTTTATCTTTAACAATTTTTGTCTTCACTTCAACTTTTAATCAGAACGATGAAGCTAGCTACTTAGGTAATTATACGTAACTACTGCAAGTGAGCGTCTACACAAGAAAGTACTAAATCATCATACACGTATTACAAAGATTCCCCATGCCTTCGCGTTACCCATTTGCATTTATTTATTAGCTTAAGTTTGTATATATATTCCCAGTTTTGTTGGTTTCCTTCGGTAGATATGTATAATAAACATCCATGAGTTTGTATCCATTGCATTAGCTTGACCCCATATATATATCCAATTCTATAAAACTGTTTCCTCCACTATCTAATGTCTAACACAAGGTTTCTCTGTCGAACTGGTTCTTGTGACTTGCTCAACTTGACTATTTCTGGCAAGCATCAACGGTTAACTAGAATCAACAATTTCGTCTTAAAATTCTAACGGCTGAACATTCCAACGGCAAGATTAAAAATGCCAAATATAGATTTCTAACGGCTAAAGTACCGACTTTGTTTTCTCTACAGTTTAAAAATAAGCGTATTACGCGAAACCAACGACGCGGTGGCTTTTCGGGTATAAAAGAGTTGTCCTGTTGCACCACCAAGCGGCAACCGTAAGTCAGATCAACTTTGTTCGATGACAGAGCTACTTAGTTCACAATTCCGAAACAAGTGACCCGAAAGTGCGTTTATTCGAAATATGTATCCTCTCTGCCACAATTTATATTATGTGGTAATCAGTTTTTAATAGAAACCAAAACCCAATTTGAACGAGTAAAAAAAATGAAATGAATTTCGTGTTCAAATTTTAAATTTCAGATATCGGGACATAGAATGGACAACGGTATGCTAACAGAATATGGAATTGTTCGAAGCATTAAAAATCTCAACAGATTAATATACCATACGTTTATATATCAATAACAAAATACTGAATCACTTGAAATTTTCAAAATCCGTCATTTTGATATAACAGCGTAAGCAATTGTAACGGATTCAGTGAACCGTAAACGGATTCTTGACTGAATACGGGCATCCGGAAAGTTAAATCCAACTTTACGGAGATGAAATAAAAAAAACATTTCATTTGTGAATAAAAATGAAATAAAATTGCCGTAATGATAAAGAAAATTTAATATTTGCTCTACATGTATGATCGTAACAACGAATCTAATTCAGAATGCTGACAAAATTTTTACAATAACGTCAAAATAGATTTGATTTATCGTTTTTTTTTTAAATTGTGGTATTTATGTATCAAATTTTGTTTAATTTCCCCTAATGTGGTCAAAATAAGAAAATTAATTATTTCACCTGCAATTATTTTACGATTATTATATTCTCATCGGATATTAGATAGCCTACATTTTCTGCCCATTCGATTGTAGTAACAACATAAAAATCTATGTTTTTTCACAGAGCAATCTTTATATTTATTTCGGAGTGTTATAACTTGCAATCTGTTGAAGCATTTTGAACGCACTCGAAGGTTTTATAAACTATTTCTCAAAAATTTCATTCCTGAAATGCTTTGAAACGACATTTTGAAATATATCTAATGAAAATTTTTTAAAAGTTGCTTTGTTATTACACTGCAGAGGCTGAGTAGTCGTTCGATTAACACGCGTGCAAAATGCTCTTTACGATAGATCCCAAAACATTTAGTCTCGCTCCCGTTAAAGTGACAAACTAGTAATAATTTTAGTCGACTTTGAGTCATATCGACACCAAATTTGTTATTCTCTTTTATGAATTATTGATGTTAAGAAAGTATAATATAATGGTTGTTCACTCAACTTTGGCCCCAGAAAAATTCATTCTTTATCATTGTAAACTTTTTGGTGCGCATTTTTGGAGTGCTTTCGCTTGTTTGGCCCGTAAGGTGGAAGTAGAGGACATTCATAAATCATTATCGACCCGAGGAACAGTTCCATTACCGAAAATGAGATAAATAGCGCATAGAACTGTTTCAATAAAAATGGTAATCTATCACGGTTGTTTTATTCTTATTTTAATTATCTAGGTCGGGGCAAATTTTTCCATATTTGAAATTTTTATGCGACTCTCATCGTCTGTTGGTACTGTTCCAAACCATATCTTAAAATTAACTATTATTTTCGAGTTAAGGAAACAAAACTCAAGACTAAAATTTAAAACTTTATTGTTTAAGTAATGAGGCGTTGGAGATGTGTATACTGGAAGAACGCGGCAATAGCTTTGCAGAAATGTTGAAAGCCTTAGGAATAAGTTGCTTTCAGTCTGTAATTTGGATGTATAGACACGCATCTGACGCTAAATTGTGAAGTAAGCGAGATGATGTTTCGTTTCTTAGTTTTTATTCCATCACTTCATGATATATAATAGGGCTGATGTAGAATCTGACTGGGTATTCTACTCAACGGTCTTTACATGGATTTCTCTATAATACCGCGCTGGAAGTATGCTCGTCATACTAACGCTGATTGTTCATGGCTTTGAAAACCCCGTGTCATTGGCAACAAATTTCTGTATATATATCAAGTGAGTCTGCATAATTTGCTATTCGAAAATCTTAAGCGTCAATTACCTGTTCTAGGAAGCCTATATACGAATTTTAAAAATAGTTTTTGAGGCGAAAAGAATTGCAAAGCTGTTTCTCAAATATTTCCCAGTTTGAATCTATTAATAATAACGATATAATTGGTATAGTTGATGTTAGAAAAATATGAAGATTGTAGGTTACGTGCTTTATTGAGAAAATTACATCGACAAGTTGATATTCGTCTTTCGTTTCCGTGGAAATTTTATCGCGCGAGATATTCAATATCTGGGCGATCCCACAATGTCTCGAAACTATTGATTGTAACACAGGTATGTATAAATGTTTGACTTATTATTTTTACTAGTGTATATAATTGTCTAAAGTGACTAAGTAACAGCACTGGCCGTGCCATACACACGAGACATTTTATGTGCTTTCCAGTGTGCTTTTACTTCCCATAGTGTCCAACGCATTAACAAAGTATAATCATACGCCTCCCAAAAATTCAAAATTTGTGTTTTCAGATCATTATCCTAAACAAGACACTCAGATGAGTAAAAATCGTATATATATATATAAAGCTACAAAAGTCCGTTTTAAATTACTGAATGTGTGACTGAATTCAGAGATGTTTAGATGCACGCGGTCAACATTGAGGGAAGGACACTGGATTAGATCAATAATACTTATAAAAAAGTTACGAAGGTATTTATAAATTTTGAACGTGTGCCAAATTCAATAATACTCGTATGTATCCAAGCATTATTGAACACGAGAACAGTCACCTTGGAGGCGAAAAATTCAAAAAGATTTATTCAGGCAAATAATATGTGTTGTTTTAATTTAAAGGAATTGCATTCTTATAACACGCCTGCCAATACGAAATGGACACGTTTACACGCACAGTTATTTTTTTTTTATTTGTTACTAGATTTTTTCAAGTTATTTACGAATGAATGAAAAACAAAGCAATAAATTAATAGAAGAATTGTTGAAATTGTCATAAGCACAAATCCCGTCCACATGACAACGCTCAAAGTCTCAAAAACGTCCGATAACCAGCCTAAAAGTAGAAATAAAATTGTCATTAAAGTTAAAACTAACATTATAAAACGTGCATCATCAAGGTTATACAAGCATAAGGGCTTAACTCAATATGAGTTACAGTGTAACTTTTTAGAACCTCGCCATCTTGTATCATTTATAACCGGTTTATGATATTTTCGTAGTCTTCAGAATGTCACGGTCCTCAAAAAATTGGAGGTATGTGCACCAAGATGGCGCACAACCTGAACTCTAACCTGGTACACATACTATGTATAGGATGTGCGCCATCTTGGTGCAGAAAGATGTGCACCAAGATGGCGCACAACCTAAACTCTAACCTGGTACACATACTATGTATAGGATGTGCGCCATCTTGGTGCACATACTTCTGTAGCGCCAAAAGATTTATATTTTATGTTCATGTAAAACGATCTCCAATTTTATCTGAACTTTATATTATACGATAAAAAACGGTATATTTACAAAATTTTGCTAACAGTGTGTAATAATGGATCGAAAACGTTCAAAATTTGACGACAATGTAGAATCCATCGTTGAATGCGTCTGGCTACTTTTCAACAAGCCGTTAGTCGGCGAAATATATTCAAAAGAACATATCACATTTCAATTGTAACTTTTGCATCGAACTTGCAGGTTCTCTCCTTTCAGAAAAAGTATTTCTTTAACATAAGTGAAGAACAGGTTCGCCAACTTTTACCGAAATTTAAAGAACGGGTACGCGCCAACGAACCCCGATTCCCCACACTGGTTATAGGTGACAAGATAAAAGATGTGACCCCAACGTAGCGCACTGCATCACCTAAGTAATCGTGAAAGTGTTCAACCTACCGACGAATGGTTGAGTTAGCATTGAAGTCGCTGCTCCAGAAATTCCTTGAATTCCAAATGCTGACATAAGTCGACTTGGACCAACAATGTCCGTCAATCCAGAAATCATCATTGGACTGATCTAATTTCAAAAAGCAATTTCAGAATTTTACCAGAGCAATATAGATTTTCTTCGATCTACATATTGAATTGTAACGTGATTTTGGAATTAGCGCTAGTTTGATTCTATTTGAAGATGTTTTTTAAAAATCCTCCTTGTTGGCTTTATAGCTACACATCTTGAATATTGAAGGATGTTTTTAAAAGTAAGCACTTTTAACAGCTGAAGATTCACGTTCAGTGTCATCAGTGTCAAGTATCTGCTAATTTCTCCGTTGGGTCATTGGAACATTATGTCGCTCTCAGAGAGTAAATATTACAATTGCTTAAAAGTGTTTTGGTAATTTTATTTACTCTGGACTTGCAAACACCTCATTCGAACGAATTTATATAAAACAACGTCTCTATTATTTACAAACTACATCTCACCCCTCCTACTCCAAATGCAAAAATTCCTTGTATTATAGAAGACATCCAGTAAGACTTCAGAAACGGATATATAAGATAACACAATGCTGTAGTTCCACTGAGTAAAGTCATCATTGTAAAACAAGTAAATCTCGTCTTGAATAAAAAGAGTGAAAAAAATTTAATGCACTCGCAAGAATACTCTAAGGATGATGTATTCGCTAAACGATTTTGCACTGTTTTTTTTTTTTCATGATGCATGTATGTGAATGATTTACATGTGTTATTTTCATACGGTATCCCGAACAAGGCCCTGTATAGGTAGATACTGATTTGTAAAAAATCTAAAGCGTGATGAAATGATAGTATACCTTCCAGTTACGCATTGCACATTCTCTTTTTTACATCCCGGCATGGTGGCATGGAAAACAAGCATTTCGGCTTACGACATAATGTTATAACATTCCATTATAAAAATGATAGATCAATAGAGACTTACGTAGCTCTCAATAAATCCAGTAATTGGACGAGCAGCCAGACTGAAAATCGCAGATAGAGTAAGAAGGAAAACTGCTTCATATTCTGAAAATCCTTGATGTATTTTTGCATAAGCGACCAAGTAATAACCCATTATAAACAAAGAAGGGCTCAGAATAGACAGTGTCACGGTATACATAATAAACTTTTTGGACCTGAAAAAAAATTGAATGTGAAATTAATCTTGAATAAATTACTTAGATCAATTAATAATTATGTAGTATCCGAAAAGAATTTATCAATGGCATTGGAATGCCATGTAGAATGAATGTAGATCGATTTCATATATGTAAAACGTTGTTCTTGTACAAGTAGACTAGTTATTGGGTTTCGCATTATGGTTTAAGTGGCCACTAACTAACTACCAAAAGTCATTTATGTATGCACAATGAATAAATTCGAACAAGGCTATATCCAAGCTTCACCGTTACGTAAGGAGGCACTTGTTTTGGAAGAACAGAAATCTTTCCGAATCAGAATTTCCTACCCAATTCATTACGATATGAGCGAGGTGGCGACGATGTCGTTTGAATCCTAGATAATTAACTGCGAAGTGGTCTAACGATATAACTACTGTCGCTTTGAAGATCAATACGTGAATATGAGAGGTCTTTTAACTAATTCATATTGTACATTGTAACGAAATATATTGTACGACGGCCGACGAGATATATTAACGAGTTGTTAAACCCTTTATAAATGTGGTATGATATATCTTATGTCTTAATCTTGATTCACTTCTGATTGGTTTTTCTCTAATATTGTTATTTGGATTTAATCACAGATAATTTGTCATTATCAGGCGGAATATTACGAATGTGTGTTGAACAGTAATTCAAAAAGATTGAACAAGTACTCCTAATAAAAGATCATACGCGTATGTTCTTTAGCGATAGTGAGCAACAAATACTGAGTAAAATATACTTTCATTCATTTCTCACAAAATTGAAAAAGTGGGAAATTACCTAAAAATACTCATATCGAGAAGCTTTTTCTTTCCTTTCTCGTCTTTAGTCTCCGAATCGGATTTAAGGTGAATAGGTCTGAGAGCTGCCCCACAGGCTACAACGTTGAGGTTTAACGCCCCAGTAATTAGCAAAGCTCCTCTCCATCCGTAACAGTCAATCAGATACTGGGTGATCGGTGGGGAAATCATTTGAAAAACCGAGGGACCGATCTGAAATGATGAATTTCATTTTGATATATACATTTATTATGAAGTATTAATTTATTGAAATATTAACACGTTTTTAAAAGAAAACTCTACTCAGAGCAAGCTTACATGCACTCACACAGAAGTAAAAGAGACTGATATCCGAGCGAAATTACGAACGACCAGTGAAGTGCCAAGAACTTATTTTGTCGCTCAATAGAATATGATAGTCCATTGCATTTGCGCGTTCCTAAGTACTAATTAACACGAAACTTGAAACAATTCAAGACAGAAAAACGGCTATAAGGAAGTGAATTCAGCAAAACTGAGGTTCTCGGAACAAACATTTGGCATGGACATTGTCGCGTGCAGACGGATATTAATGTCAGTATTTTTTTCTTAGAACTCTTGGCTTCGTTTGTCAATAATTCATTTTATTTATTTGTGATATCGAAATATTATTGCCACACCAGAAAGACACGTCATCGGCGAACTTTGCTTTAAACCAGTTCCTAATGTTTTTTCGAGGTAGTACTGGTTTGAACATGACGAGGCTCGATCGAGATTTTTAACCTGATACAGCTATCCTACCCGATAGTCACTGACTTGAATAGTCACTTGGAAGCCAATATTTAAGGTATCCTGAACTCGAGGTCAAATAAATATCATACTTGTTGTACGCCAAGCGCAAGCGATCGCCGTTTTGAAAAGTATCTTCCAACTTCTACCGAAAGTGGCATTGCGGAAAAACTCAATCCGAGACCTGTGGATAAATAAAATTTAGTAGTTTTATAGCCTTTAATCGTCAATAAGGATTTTGAACGACCTTTCTTTCTGGACAGATGCATATTTCACAGACGAACAAATCTACAAACAATATTTACAAGATTTATAGTAAAAGATATTCCTGTCTTACATGGGATATCAAATTACAACTACATCAAAGCAATAATATAAAAGCAATCAATTTTGAGAGGAACGTCTTTCAGCACAAAACTATTGAACGAGAATAATAATATACAAAATGAGTTAGGCCATTAGACTGCGATCTTGCCTCTGCGCAATAAAATGCGCTATTAGCACAAACTGATTAACACTAAGTATTGAAATCCACAGAAATCATAATCTGCACTCATTTTACAAAGTTTTCGATGCATATTGTTTATCATTGTTGACCCGTGCCAAAAATCGGTGAAAAATGAGAAATTTCTTTTTGGATCCGAAAGAATTTATTCTGCTAATACAACCTGTTATAAGTCCCAGGAATATATGAGTGAATGCCATCGACTTTGAAAAAGCAGCACCACATATTCCGATAAATTGCAGCAATCCACCGACAATTGCTGTTGCTCGTGATCCAAAACGATTGCCGAATATGCTGACGATGGGAGCTTCAAATGAGAAAAAGTGTGAGATGTACATTATTACCAACTTGATATACAAAGTATACAAATCATCATTTTGCTAAAGTTGTTGTTGTGGTTATAATGATTATTAATGTATAAAATAATCGTTCTGCTCGTAATGGATCATCGACATCGGTGGATTTCAATTTTAAAGAGCTGAAGTTGCTAGTGGAAGGCTATTATTTTTATTTATTTTTCAATTTTCTATGGAGTTCCAGGGAACCCCATATTTTACTCACTATGGTAATTTTATTCAATTTTAATTTAATTGCCTGCCTGCCAAAGGTTTCGCTACCTAGCTGACAACAAACACACATACTTTTGGGGGGTATGGGTTAGGATCTTTAGATGATCATATGGGGCTTGGATCTTTATATGATCTGAATATATAAAAGGGCGAGTTCCACCTTTGCGTCCAGCATCACTTCACGCACCCTCTAGCGCGTATGGAACTAGGCATCATTTTTAGGGGTTTCTGGATTATTGGCACAAAGTTATATCTAAACGAATGCAAACGATACCTGCTATGTAGATGCATCCGATCAGCAATGAAAACAAAATATTCAGATTTGCATATGGCGTTTCAAACTCGTTTTTTAAATCCAATAACAGAACTCCAACCGCGCGGGCATTGTATAATATAGATCCATGTCCAACAAATGCAGCAGCTACAATAACCCAACCATAACCACCGTCCGGTGGTTCAACGGTTTTTGATTTTGGCTCTTGTGCCAAACTAATCTCAATGCAGTCTGAATCTTTAGATACAGATTCGGAAGCTGATGGAGTACGATGTATGCTTTGAGTACTCATGATAATAGTAAGAATTATTATCAGTCACAGGTTTGAATTAACTTCACAAAAACTAAACTAACTTTGGCCATTGGGCATTGCAGGTAACTAGAATTCAAAATGAAATATAGGCAAATAGAATTAGCTGTGGAATTAAGGAAAATTGGTATTGAATTCGATACGCATTCTTACATTCGAACTATTCACAGCATTTGGAACAAGCACGGCGTTTGTAATCTATCATCTGTCGCCACTCCTGAAATCGCATTACTGTAACACTGATTGCAACTTGGAAATTCACTTCCAAGGCCGGCCACGTATAGTAACCAGTGGTTTCATTACATTTGAACCCATGACAATTGCCCTGCATATTATTTCACATATAATTTTTTTTTGTTTTGGATATTTGAACCCATACTAACCCTACCCATGGGTTTTAGCACCCGCATATAGATTGAACCCGCGGATATACAGATGGTTACAAATGTACGTGGGTTCAAATTTACGGTCACCGTAACCAGTATAATAGTAAATATCTAAACTATGATATATTTGCGATAGCATTGACATAAAATTGCGCTCTATAACTATTTTGCTACAATCTGATCCGAATGTGGTGTACAAAGTCGGGTTTCCTCAAGTTTCCTATCCAGGTAGGGCAGTAGAAGCTCAAAAATTCAAAATATACATCTAGCATTTGCTCAAATCTTGTCATATTTAACCTGATGTAATTTCTCCTGAATCAGCGCCAGACCGAAATGACAGTCGGTATCGGTTATGAAAATTGTATAAGCGCTTTTGGTGCCAAAATTAACGAGCAAACGTAATCGACAAATTGTATTCGAAGTGAATGCTGTAATGTTCTTGATTTCAGTACAATTAACTAGTAAGCCATAAGCAGATTGTGCAGTATGTGCTCGGGTGCCAGAAATTATACATTTTTAAAGTAATGCCCAGATCGCAATTATAAACGTAATTAATACAAGCGATTAAACTATGCTCAATCAAGCTCTTTGTTTTGTCTCTAAATTATAATCGGTTATGTCATCAAGTCTACATATTCTTTGGCAACTCATCACAAATTACAGCAGGCTGCGCGAGTACTGAAAACGGGTAATATCCACTTGCATAACCTGTCTGACAAGTAGGCCTTTTCACAGCGTGATTGCCGTTTTGTTGTACAAGCGAAACCCATAAGCTGAACCTGAACAAGCACAATCACATACCATGCTGATGCACCGCAAAGAGTTTAACTACGTGCAAAGGGCAAATATTGCCTAATCAATACAAAGCATTCGTTCATCACCAACGGAATTTGCGGCTTATAAACATTAATACTCAACTTATGTGGTAACTTAGAAAATCAATTCCGCTTGCAGCACTTTATTCGCAAAATATAAACAAACCGAATTGCGTGAATTACTTGTCTCTGTTGAAGTTTGTTTGCTCTCAATTCAACCAAGCGTAGAAAAACAAATATCTGGTATCCCGGAGCAATCTAGTTCAATTATATAAGCTGATCGACTGTTTCTGCTGTTACTATGACTATTCAAAACCCCATAGAATATTGTCAATCATGAAGGCTATTTGCATATATCATTCCACTCTTTTATTACCAATTATCCGGTATCTCTTATTAATGTAAATGTCCTAGTAGGACATTCCTACCTATGTCTTATTTTGCCATAATTGTTCAATTTAAATTAACTGTTTATATTAGTGATTAGGCACTGTTTTTAGGAATATATATTTGGATGAAAAGTGAGAGACAATTCAACTCTGTGTCTCTGGTCTACCGTAACTATCTTTTGTCTGTAGCGTTTTCCATGATACCACACTCTCGCAAATCAAATACGTCACTATACCAATGCTTCGTTACAATGTGGTAAGCAGAGATTTTCCCACACCCCTACTATAGAGGTCGAACAACCAGCAATATAAGCAATTTCTCCGTGTTTATAACACTTTCGTATGATTTCTTTTTATTATACGCATTTAATTGATTGCTTCTGTGAAAGCATTACAAATGTATAGGAGGTTCGTTTTCAAAATATATATGAGTTATTCATTCTTTCCAACATTAAGGAACAAATTATTAAAATTCATCCACCTATGCCAACTCACCTTTGCTTTATGTCATAAGTGTGCACTACAGGAAGATTGTGTCGGAAAAAATAACGTCTACCTTCAAGCTGCCGTTGACGTCATCGACTCCCTATTCCGAATCGTTCGGATTGAGGGTTCAGAAAAATTGCGACGTGTCCCATATACTGACATATATTTCTCTCTCTTTCCAATCTATTACATATTAAAAAGTATAACGATAACAAAATCGTACATTAGTTGGCGATAAATATGATATAAATATATTTAGTTTGCGCTCCCGTAGTATGTGGAACAAGATGGCGGACATCTTGGACATAGTGTAGCAGGTTAGGGTTAGGCCATAATTTTATTTCAATTTTCCTTATTTTAGTTCTATTACGAGTTCGGGGACTAGGCAAGTGACTCCCGAAGTAATTGTATCTGAAATTATGGCCTAACCCTAACCTGATACACATACTATACGTTCCGGTGTCCGACATCTTGTTGCACATACTACGGGAGTACCAGTTTGCAAACCTTTTGCATTATTTATTTGTTTTTCTTCCCTATGATTACAGTTTTCTCCTCTACGGTGGCTAAGGTAACATGCTTTATAACAGAACACGAACTTTCAAATACTCTTATTTATATCATACTTTGACTCAAATAAAACAATGCTTGAAGAATAGGAAGAAAGATTTAACGAATTATTGTTATATTTCACGTGAGCCAAAGTTGAATAGCTTCATTTCTGGTTAAATTCTATTAGCAATTTATGAGATTGTTTTTATTCTGAGAACCGGCGCTCCATTATCATATTTTAACGTAATTTTTACAACAATACAATATTAAAAATGTGATCATAATGTGTTAATATTCAGTAATTTAGTAATTTACAGTAAAAATGACAACAGTTGACTGGAAATAATTGTGCAATTCTAATGTATAAGATGTAACATTATAAAGTAATTCAAAATCAATGAATAAGATATGCTAAACAAAAATTGAGAACTCAAAAAAATTGATAGTGGGATTTAGATAAATAAAGAAAGTAAATTGAATAAATGCTCAGTTAATTACCATATAATTTTACACATATAAAAATAAAAGAATTGACGATCACAGCACTATACAGAAAAAACGACAGATTAACTGGAATTTTACACATTATTTTAGATGCTTATAGTTATAAATATTTTCGGGTCTGTTTATGAGATATTATTAAACCACTTTTTTATTTTCAGAATTGTTTTTATCTTGAAATATCGTAAAATGCCATTAAATCAGTCGTTTTTCGTATTTTATGTAGTTATGTGGGAAGACTGTGCGTGTGATAGTGCACGGGTTGGGCGACTGGAGGACCAACTACGGCAGTTGTTGTCGTTGTGGTCGTTCTGCCTTCTTCCCCTAGATCAAATGAAAAATATGTTTATTTATAACGAGGTAATAAATTTTTTTATATAGTAGTAAAGATCGGGTGTTGCGCAGTTAAACACTGAAAACGACTGTATAACACATGGCTCAGTTAGGAATAGAAAAAATCTTCTGTTCAATAGCTATCCAATATTGAAACTCTTTTTAATTTCATGTGAAAAAAAAGGTTGCAAACGCTCTGCACCTGGTGACCCGATGAACTAGTCGAGAGATTTTAAAGCGTTATTAGTAACTGATCTCGGGTTTATATCCCATGCCCATACCTAAACCAGGATGTAAAAAACTGGGTGGAAAATAACAAACCGGAAAGATTCCCGAATTTTTAAATAAAAGTAAGTCCTTGCGTATCGGGAGGGCGGCTCGCATAGGGCCATGCAAAAGATGTTGAAGATATTTCCGCACTTATTTCTTTAAAATCAGCAGTTGTTGCACACCACACAAATAGTTTCGCGCGAATAGGCATGTTAAGCAGTAAGCACGATTCATAAAGTAATGATTAAAGTTCTTTAAAACCATCTGTTGTAATTAACTGGGTAGGCAATATCAAATCGGAAAGATTCCTGTATTTCCAAATAAAAATAAAATCTTGTGTATAGGAAGGGCGGCAGGAATAAGGCCAAGTGAGAGGAGTCTGCACTTTTCCCCCTAAAATCATATAGCAGTTGTTGCACAAATAGTTCCGTCCAAATACGCATGCGAAGCAGTGAGCATGGCTCATAAAGTAACGGTTAAAGTACCTTGGAAGTTAGTAAACTATGAATATGATCGAAGAATAAAATAAAATATATAAGCATACCAGCGCTTGCTATGAACGCTATTCCCCATATAATGCTCCACACCCATCCAATAAGAAGCGATGCAGTTAGGAGTTGTAGAAGTCCCACCCAAAAGTTGATGCAGAACGTCCCAACTCTTCCACCACCGGATTGATCAGTATTTCCGCAACATAAAACTCCAAATCCAGCGAAAATCGTACCTGTTTGATAAAGCGTCTTAAATATGACATGTGCAATTTCAGTTGACTATAGCTAATTACCGGTGTTGCCCCATTTTACGAACATCGCGTGAAATAGGCAAAAACATTTGAAAAGACATTGTAGTTATGTGGCCCCAGTCATTCAATTATGTAATTCTGATGATTAGGGGCATTCATGTCTGAATAATTGGATATTATGATATTCTAATTCATAGGTGCATGGGCAATTACTTTTCTTAGTGGGCTAATTACATAAAATAGACATGGTTACTCGGTCGGAGACTCAAAATTCAGTATGAAAAACTGTGAATAAAAACAGTTTATTTACAAAAGCTAGTCCAACAGCTAGGACCAGCTAGGCTGACGTTTATAAAATAATAAGAATCACAATGTAACAATCGGGGTCATTATGACGTTGTTTTCAACGTTTATTTAGGTAATTTATATTCATATTTTTTGTATTTTCAAATCTTCATCCAACTCCGCCATATCCAGTTTAGCTACCAACTTGCAAAGCGTTATTTATTTCGGTAGCAGTCAGTCATAATTTGAGCACTTTACTCAGAATTGAAGCCACTGACATTAAACAAGATTATGAGGTCTCGACTTACCAAATCCTGGGAGAAGGAAATTCACTATGGCCAGAATAACTGCTAAAGGCATCGGAAATGCCGGAATTGCTTGTCTCATTGAACTCTTGTTTTGCACAGTAGTTTGAGTCACCACAACGCCTGCGGCAGGAGCAGCCATGGGCTGATGGTATATGGGCTGCTCGTAAATATTTTGTTGCTAAAATAATAGAAGGAATAAAAAAACTAATTTGCACAACTAAAAAGTTAATACAGATATAAGTCAGAATCATATATAAGTTTTAAACTCTGTTTTCGTCGCTAATTTGCAATCTTTTCTGATCATAAACCGTCGGAATGCGGAAAAACTTTGCCAATAGGCGACATTTTGTTATAAAACAAGTTTTTATTCTACCAATTTTGTTTTGAATGAACCTAATTTTTCATGTTTTATAGTCAAGAAATATGTATGACATGACAACTCGTGCAAAGATCTCGTTCTTAAGATTGACAGTACACGATTGGATTTGGCGACACGCCCGAACAGTCATCTTGGCAGCAGGCAGCAAAATGCCTATCGATGTTTTCGCATGGCCGCCAAAGCGCCAAACGGGTGGTGGGCTTCTATGCTTGAGTGCGGATTTGTACTTGTATTAAATCTGCTTTCATTGAATAGTCGATGAGTTAGTACATCGGCATATGAGACGTCACTGATCTTACGTAGGAAAAGAAAAGTGGCGGAATAACCTAATGCTGACCAAATATTTATATTTCTGCTATCTAAATTGCAGTGCTTCTCTAGACAGACAAATATCTTAAGACTGAAAATGTAACGGAGCACGACATCATGAGGCCTTTTCAAATTCAAACAGTTGGAAAATTTTAACGCAGGGTCAGAATAAGGCAAAACTTTTCTTGTTTGGAAAATACTTATTGTTTTGGGGCCGTTCCGTCTCGAACATAGGGCACTAAAATTGCGAGTCAACATGGCACTATTTATTTTCACTCTATTTCAGCCAAAACTTTTTTCATGAACTTTTTCAATTGAATATTTCAATTAAAATACACAAGCAAGCCAAAGATTAAAAAACTACATATATACTTGTTACCGTTACATTGCATGTTAGAGATCTTAGTTTTACAGTTTATTTTAGAAATAAAGTAACATGTCAGGAAGTGTCTGGTCAGGGTCTTGGGACAACAGTTATTAGCGTTCAACGGGAATTCTATAGGCCTACATATATATTGACCAGACAATATTATTTAAAATAATTTATATAATTAACCGCAGAATCTACAAAATATTCATTAAATACTGTGAAGATTTTCATAAATACCTGCATCATATTTTCTTTTGTCTTCGCAATTATTTTCAACGCAAAACTGAACTTTCACAGAGAGCTTTATTCACTGGCGACTACAGCAGCGTCGTATTGGAAACAACTCATAATACTACATTAGCAACGTGTATCAGATTCTATTTCGTGTCTATCCTCTATTGTTTTAACGTCACGTGATCGAAACAAAGTAGTCGCCTCCAATATCGTCCTATTGTCCACTCTGGTCTGGGTCCTCATATATATATCACTGAACTAGGCTTGTGCGTGCGAGAAAACTATTGTTTTTGGTACAATTCAACTAAATCGTGTAACTGAAGTATATGGAACATTATCACAAACGGTTTCATCCAGTTCTTCAACAAAAGACCCTATCGTGTGGACCCTTATGTAAAATGCCCATTTTTTTTTTTTATCTGTGAGAGAACACAGGGCGAGTATCACTTCAATCGACTTCGTATGCTGTTTATGCGGGCCATACAAGTGTCAAGTAATATTATTGAAAAACGAGGTCATTCGAATGTTTTTATATTCATTTTACTTTGATACAATGCGACACATTGAAATCATTAAGTGTACAGCTACAAAAAGATATTTTCAATGTAATTTAACGGCACGAGGACGCCAGCCAACTACTTTTTAAATCGGCGGTATCTGCAGCAAGCGTCAACATACTATACACATAACATTCCGTTGCTCATTAATATATATAAATATTCCTAATAGCTCACACTATTGAATTTTCGTAAAGTGTCCGGTAACGAATCGGTTGTTCTTGCAAAAAGGAATTGTTGCCAATTCGTGAAACAGTCGGGCAATGTTGAAGTGTAAAAAGGCATACATTGACTCAAATACATGCTTGAACACATATAATAGTTTGCACCACGTAGAACACCGACAGCTTGATAATATTAACGATAACGACCGTCAGATAATTAAGAATATAAATGTATGATTGATATAATTCTAGAAAGGGTAATAGGAATTGGCCTCCTCTGAATTTTTCGCGAGCGAAAATTCAGAGCGAAAAACTGCTTTTCCCGCGACTAATTCATTACAACGACACGAGTAAAAAGAATAAAGTCAGGCACCACTCAAGGCTTCTTTATTCAAGAATGTCATAACATATCAGAAACGTATTTCATTTATCGAAACACATTTCTGCGGCAACTTTGTAAGACCTCCTGCCGACAATTAATTTTGGAGTTGTTGTCTGTATGGATGAAAAGAACTTGTCCGGTGACATAGTGATAAGTCTGAAACAAACAATAGTTTGTATTTCGTTGTAGTGTCAGGGCATTGGTGTGATTTTCAGAAAGCATTTTGAAATGTGACAAAACATGTCGGGGCATATCATAAACCTCCAGTATTCGGCGAAAAATAGACGACATAACGCAACAGATCTATTGAAGTGTGCGAATCATCGTGTGTTTCACATCCAAATCAGTTATTCAATTTTTACATTAGTATATGATCAAATGTATTGTTGCTTACCCTTTCATTTGATATTTATTTGATTTGTAATCATAAATGCAATCTATGATGGTTCCAACGTAGACGTTATTTTTCCATATCACGTCACCCGGAAATAGTGTTCCCTCTCTAAAATGGCAGAAAAAAAGAAGTCAAATAGTATAAAATAATGACCTATCACTGATAGTAGGGTAGAGTTCAAAACCAATCACCAAAATTTCTCGATTGTTCTGATATTCTATTGCTAAATATATATTTTATTGAGCTTCAATCAACAAAGACCATTCTAACAAATATTTTGTTACTCACGAAACTGCCGTCAAGTTGAAGACCTTTGGAATCTTACTCCGGTTTTCTTTCTTCATTAAATGACTTTTCCCAATATATTCTCTGTCGTCATCAGTTGCACATAAATGTGATAATCCGACTTCATGAGGAGCGAAACCCAGCAGACTAACGTTGAGAAGATTTGAAAAATCTGAAAAGAATATTTTTATTTTTTAATGCATTGTATTGTGTATGCATAACCTCGTGGCATGGACGCAAATTGCACACATCTTGTCTGGGGCCTGGATTGTAAAGAAAATTTAATAAAAGAATACAGAATAAATTGCGATTACAATATTACTATGGCGGTTTTAATGGGTAAACATGGTTCTAAAACATTTTTTTCCTTTGCTTACATGTACGTTGCGGTGAACGAAATACCTGAATAAATACAAACAGACTTCAAAGATCTCAATCCTGCAGGAACTGGTCGAATGTTTGAAGAAACTAAATGATCGTAGATGAAAACAGCATCCTCCATGTTACAGTGGACTTGATAACATATTAAAGGAGACGTGGTCTTCATTCTGCATCGCAGAGAAGATGTTAGTGCAGCATGCGTAATTGAAAAATCAGAAAGAAGGCTACATTTAACCAGACAGATTTTGTTAAATTTAATGTTAAAAAAATATGGATATGTGGCCCCATTAGCCTGTTGAATATGCTTTCTCCACAAGGATTCTTTCATTATCAGTATAGTGAAGTGTAAACGTGTAAAAATGAATGTTTTAAAACAGTACACACTAATAATGATAACACAGGTTTAGAAAAATGCATTGCAGATAAAACCGTCTTTAACTTTAGAGTAATGTGGAAATAGGACGAGAATTAACCTGCATATCAGTACTTTTGTATTATCCATTCCACAGCTTAAGCATTCGCCAGGTTGTAAGTCTTTCCAGTCGTCAGAGACGCGATGTAAAAGTTTTGCGCTGAAAAAATAAATAAATATATCCGTCAGTAATTAATTGTACTTGAATACATGCCATAAGCAATACCCCTTAGTCATTCGAAACCCATCCTACGCGCAAAAAGTAAAAGTGGCATAAACAAAACAATTTTAACATTGATGTTAAAATCGTTTTCTTTATTCCACTTTTATTTTTCGCGCGTAGGATGGGTTTTGAATGACTAAGGTATATTGTTTGACTCTGCGTATAGCTTCATGGAGAGACTTGACAAAAATATTCATTCTTCTGCGTCGTTAGCTCTTTAAAAGTTATATATTCGTGATACTGATTAAATTTCAAACTAACATGTGTCTATTTTTGTTCATTTCTTTCAAGCATGCCATGCTGTAGGCCGGAGATAAAGACGATTGGACTAAAAAGATCAAAATTGACATAAATATTTATCAAAGCATGTGGGAAAATGTTGGGCAAGATTCAATTTTGGGTTTCCCTTCATAAGAGTTGGGTGGTAATATCCACGAAAATTTGATGGGGATTAAAAAATATTTTAGTGTTTATGGGCACGACGAAGAAATAGCTGTGATGATTAGGTTATCAAGCTTCCCGGGCGTGAATATCGATAATTTAGGGTTAGGCTATAGCCTTTGGCTTACTAATTTCACAAAAGTCGGTTTGGATCAACATCGATGACCCATTTTACCAAAATAAACCAGCATTGAAGTCTAAACCAAATAATGTTTGCAACATTGCAACGACCTTAACGGCCTACATTATTCCGTTACCACCTTTCAGGTCCCCATAAGGTTAAAAGAGCAAATCTTCCTGTGATGTCATCGACAGAGCAATTGTGTTTACTGTATTGTACCAACTGGTTGATGTGATGAAGAATAAATTCTTGCTGTTGCGAAGGAGCAGTGATTCGATACTGATCTGTAATTTGATTGGAATAAGTATTTTGACGTGAGCAAAATACATTCGAAGATTTGAACTAATACTCTCGACATTGATTGGTGTCGGACGAGAGACAGTGGTGCGCCATATGAATAATCCGTTTTATCGGCTTTTCTCTCCCCATGTATAAATATAAAAATTCTAATGTTAGAAGCTCACTGCACATCTAGTGATAACTAATATTACACTCTAGAGCAAGGGTCGGCAACCTACGGCCCGCGGGCCGGATCCGGCCCGCGGAGCAATATGATCCGGCCCGTGACGCTTCACTGAATTATAGTAACAAATTACAGCTGTTTTGTCGATTATATTCTTTACGCAAAAGAATTTACGTTTAGACTAAATTATATTACAACGTAACAAGTATATTATTCTCGTTTAATGAGCTTATTATTTAATTATAATTTAGACAAATGGCAAGAAATCGCAGAAAAGTTGATGCTAAGTGCAAATGGTTTAATGGCGCAAAAAAAATTCAAATGGTCAGTCTTCGCGCGCTGCTCAAAATTTAACTTCTGATCTGTGTGATAAAATGTGATTCATCGGTCATCCATTGGATTTTTAAAAGGTTGCCGACCTCTGCTCTGGGGTCTAGAGTACACAGATTAATAAATATGTAACGATTGGCATATACAACGTACAATTTTATATATAATATACGATCTTAGGCAAATGTGCAAATAGAACATTTTTGTTTTAGTTTTCCAATTTCATTAAACCAATTGTAACCATAACTAGAGATGATTTTAGAAAAAGCGTATTTTACAATTTTTCTCTCAACACGACCGTGTACAAGCATCTATTTTTGCATAGTACTTTGATAAAAAGACCATAATTTTATTCCGATTTTTCTTACTTTAGTTCTATTACGAGTTCAGGGACTGTCTGTGTTAGCCAAGTGATTCCCCCCCTGCCCATAGGCTCCAGCCCCCTTACACAACTTGATGAAAAATAGGCGAACAAAATTACGGTAGTTACCTCCATATTGGTACACACATCTCTCGGGCGCCGGCACCTATATAGCATGAAGAGCATTTGCGAACAGAATTAAACAAAGCTTACTTTCATGCTTAATAACAGTGACGTAACTTAATATTTTTCCTTCTTCGTTTAGCATTAGCGCTTCAGTTTGATGATTGTTCAACAAGTTTGTGACATCACAGGTGAAAAGTTGTCTTGCTAATTTGTCAGATTCTGATCCAGAAATATCAAACTGACTCAAATGAGATAAATCGACAACGGCTGCAGAGTTGAAAATTGACTCTACTTCGATCCCAACCTATTTAGTGGCAAAGATAAGTTAGTTAATGGTCTGGACAATTGTAGACTTTAACAAACATTGCAACAAGTGTCGAGATGCAAATGAAAATCACAACGAAACCTGTTTATTTATATCCACATCTGGCAAGTGACTTCCATCTCTATCCATCATTTCTCTGTATTTGTAATCCACATTCTTTTTGTGTCCGTAACAGCCGGAATAATCGTAGTTGAGTAACGGTAAGGTCTGGCCAGGCACGAAAAACTCTGGCACTTCCCGGCCATGAATACACGTGAAATACGCTCCTTCTTTAAGGTGAATCTGAATTAATATAGCTCTTGTTAACAGATTATTCTTTTATAGAATAGTTCTTTTTGTTACAAATTTAAAAATGATGTAAAATTATCAGTGAATCTTCAATAAATTACAGAATCGTCAAATTTTCTGTCAAAGATATATAGAAATCGAACAGTAGTTAATAATCCTGAAAACAAGTGGAAACAAAATTACTAGTAGGAATTATAACCTTACCTCAGATAACGGAGTTGTTCTGAGATTTCTGCCAGCCAAAGGATTTTGATTGGGATTTTTCGCTTCATATCTTGTGAAAATATATTCGTGGCAACTCTCTTTTAACCATGTCTCATTGTAAGAGGACGAGAAACGCCTAAGTAAGCGAGACATGTTTAACTTCAGATTTTTCAATTCCAAAATATTGATGCAATCAAACTTAGTTTCACTTACTTGAGATCACAAATTTTGAAATCATTTTCCGGTCTGCCATACGCCACCAAGTGGGCAAGTTCTTTTCCCGCTCCCCCTCCCTATTGAAAGGTGGTTGAAAGAAAATACGTTTCGTTTTATTTATTGTTACATTTTGGTAATAGATTTTTTGAAAATCTTAAATTAATAGTTAAATATGTCATACATACGTACCAACATCAAACCACCGCCGCTGAAAGCGCTTGCATTAAAAAATCCTTTAACATATTGAGATTCCCCAATGAGAGGATTTCCATCCGGTGTAAATGACTCTGAAAATGGCACAAAATATTGGACCAGGTTAAAAATATTTTGAATAATTTTCACAAAATCGACTTGATAGATAACTTACCTGGGCCACATATAGTTGATCTGATTCCAACTTTTGCGATTTCAGGAATAAGATCAGTTGCTGATTGTATATAAGGTTCGGAACGTTTCCAGTCAGTGTCATATAAACTAAATGAAAAGTCTTCTTCTACCTTTAAAAATTGTTTTCAGAGTTTGATATTTCTGTTTCTACTAAGACTAAATTGATTTTGATTTTACCAATTGTCCAATGATTCATCCCGAAGGGTGAAAGACATCGTTAAAAAATAGGAAATCTAACCAAGCCAACGAGTTTTTTGTTGTTTTCGTATCCTCCAAATAAAATAGCATGTCCTTGTCGTTTGTTGAAAACTCCTCTTGCTGTGTCACGAATATTTGGAACATTTTTAATTCCAGGAATACCTGCAGCAAATAAATTATGAAAGATTTGGCTTCTTGTTGCGAAGAATGAGTAAATAAATCATCAGATTTTATGAACAAACAAAATAGCTATACCAAAAGATATGGACACGATAGCCAAAATGAAGAAGTAGCAAATACTTCACAGTACCGGTAGTCTTTCTGACCAGAAAATCCCACTGGATCTCTGAAATATGGTCACGGTTCCTAACTGAGAAAAATTTTATATTTTGATAACGTCATCAAACAAAACTTCAAAGATCAAACGAATCCCAAAGAGGCCACAAGAAGTTTGGAAAATTGTTAGCCTTCTGGCGAGAATAACAACAATCTTTAACCGCTTAAAATTTGAAAACAATAGGTACAGTAGTAAAAAGAAAGCAATTTTTTCACAATAACAATACCAAGAGAAAAAAAAGAACACCAGTAACAACAATAACAGCAATTTAACAAAAGGATGCATAGGTGTCCAATAAATCAGTTCAAAATAACCTGAATAATATAAAATACTATTGATGATAGCTGTATATATATCCCACTTATACCTTGAGTAAGAAAGTATGCAACTTCGTAGGTCAACTGCGGAAGTTTCATTCCCACCATCTATTAAATGTTTATGTAAGATTATAGCGATGGTTAAAATGTTAAAAGTATAATAACAAAATTCATATGCAGATATAAATTGAATCCAAGAATTCGTTTCTTCATAATTCTGTTGTTTTAACAAAAAAATGAAAGCTTGTATATATTCAGGGTTCGGAGAAATATCAAAAACATCTTAAACACTCATTTGGTGTATATTCTACGTTTACAGGAAAGTGTATTTATTATCACAGCACACTATTTTCCCTAAATCGGCACTAATTCACCTTTGCGATATACGGAGCCCAAGCACCAGTGCAATTAATTACTTTATTTGTCTTGATGCTACCAAGGTTCGTTTCTATGGAAACAATCCTTTTCATTCCAGAAATATCTTCATCCGTTTTTATATTTTTTACTTCGCACTTCTCTATAACCTGGAATAAGGTAATTCCATTAGAAAAAGGTTAAAATGAAACAAAACTGGAACTAACATTGCAGCGTTAGCTTTCTTTATGGATCAATTAACAACAGGGATATTTATTTCATATTGTAGAGCTGAGAGTTTCCATTTAAATGTTGTTCGTTACTCAGTCTTATTTCGATACAGATGAAACTTCATTTTTAAAACATGTCGATTTAGGCATTGATACTTATATATAACACGTGTTTCATTATGAGCGTTTTTCCTGTAATAGGACCTTATTGACGGCGCTAACGTAGTATGTGCATCAAGATGTCGGACACCGGAAAGTAGTATGTGTGTCAGATTAGTGTACCAGGCCTAACCCCAACCTAGTACACATGCTCCGTTCCGGTGTCCGACATCTTGATGCACATACTACAAAGATACGTTATTGACTAAGTTTAGACTGAAGATATAAAGGAAGTAGATCAGGAAGCATTTTACCTGTGCTTTATATTTTGTTGCAGCCTTGATGTATGAAGTACACAATGTTGCTGGATCAAGCGATCCGTCATCCGGTGAGTACAATCCACCCAGTATTCCTTTAGTGTCAATGAGTGGATGTAACTTGGATATTTCATCTGTATCAATCATACGCGATTCAACTCCAAATTCTGAACCAATCTACAATTTAAAAATTCGGCGCTCCAGAAGTATGTGTGCCAATACGGAGGTAAATAATCTTGTTGGCCTACTTTACATTAAGTTGTGTACATGGACTGATTACTATGGGCAAGGGGTGTATCACTTGGCTAACACAGACAGTCCCTGAACTCGTAATAAAACTAAAACGAGAATATCGGTCAGAGACCGAAGACTTATCGATCGAAAGTTAGGGGATCCCACAACAGCGCTCTTACTCAATAGTGACACCTTGAGTCCCATCACTAATTATTTAATTACTCGCTAATTATACGACATAATTTGAACAAAATCAATAGGCTTCTGGTCCGAGATGAATGCGAATGCAAAATCTGGAGCAGATTCAATCTCGCTTCCGTGAGATATCGCGTGCATCTAACAGACAAACAGGCAAACCGACATATAGACATACAGACAGACAGACGAATATCTATCAACATACTTACCGATTAAAATCGATAAGTAATGAAGAAAATTGGAATAAAATTATGGCTTCACCCTAACCTGGTACACATACTACGGGAGTACCAAAAATTGTTACTTGATTTTTAATTTTTACAGTATCAATAAGAAAAGATAAATAAGTTAGCCACGTTTTTTAATGTACTAAGTAAACTGTATTTCTTGTAATGGCATATTTTGTATATAAATTAATGATTATTGACTGCGGTGACAAAAGTAGGCTAGTTTCGCCGCTGCCAAGGTTTAAAAATGAACTTGCCGAATATCTGCAGTATACGAAAGTTATTATCTCGCTCCAAGAGTAGCTTGATATATTTCATACGCAACGATAGTAGTGGCTATCACAATATTTTCTAATTCTAATCGAACGAAGAATCGGACTCGGTGGAAATTGTAAATTAGATACTGAAGTTTGGGCAGTCATGTAACATTTATGATTTGGGAATGATTATTTTTCGCTGTTTATATAATACATGGAGACTGAGCAATGTTTTTTGAAGAATTTTCAACACTTACGAATTAAAATTAGGCATGTGAATTGTTAGGCATCTGAATTGTATGATTTGAATAAATCTTAAATAAATGATAAAAGATTTACTCCGGGTACCAATACTGAAATACATCATCAAATTAAATGGAACATAACAAATACAAATTTTTGTGGCGATTTCATTAAAAAATGAGCCTAAAAAACCTATCTCATTGACAGCAGCGGAATTTTTTGCATGTTTATGTGGAGATATTTTCATATTCATTACTCATTCGTTTTGCTGTATGACCTATTTTGACGATTTACGTCGATCGCGGTCGACAGCAGGTTGGCCACCCCTGCTGTATGCCATTATCAAAGCCAGGTGGCAAAAAAAAATAAAAATTTTATTCCATTATGTCATTTTTATCGATAAATCAGAAATTTTAAGCTATATAATTAAATACTGGAAAATGGATTTTAGTTTTTGATAAAGTATTGGCAGTTCCCGTTGCCAGTAAATATTCAGCTATCCAGCAAATACGTATGGCGACAATTATCTACTTACCAAACTTATCTTTTCGAATGCATCAATTTGTGTTCTATTTCTTATTAAAGATATCGAGCCGGTGTTGATCCATCCCGAATCGAATCCAGTTTCCTCCGGAAGAATCCGACTCAGTAGCTCACGGGTGTATATTTGCATTCGAGTTAAAGTACGATTATCACGTAGATTCCAAAAGATACCTGCAGAGATCAAGACGCAGATCTATGTATCGCAATGGTAAATGACGCACGAAATGTGTTAGAACATCGCATTATTTTGCGATAACAATAATACCAATGTAATCTAATGCCGAAGTAATCTGGTGTTAGACCTTTTTCAATGTCCTACCCATAGCTATTGGAACACAGTGATTTTAGCAAGCGCATATCATAACGCTAATAACAATATCAGTTTTGAGGAGATATTGTTACGCTATTAAAAGTAAATGTTTTTTTTTGGTTCAAATTTTAGAGTGGGCGGATTTAAATTCATTAATATGGCGCCGGCGTGTGAAGCCATAATGTTGCGCTGCGACTTCCGCAGAAATGTGCCTATGACTTTAGCACAGTAGGCAACAATTTCGACTCAGAAAGCGGATATCATCATTGTTCACTTTTCTATGAGATAGTGTGAATTCGATTTTTTAATCGCTAAGCTAGAATCTATTATGCGAAAACTCGGAAAATGCTTCGTCTGTGGTAATTTTGCCTTTATGACGCAAAAAGTCTTCCGTTAAACATTGATAATTCATTACGACAGAATATTTGCAACAATGTGCATGCCATATAAATCTCCCTTTTATGCGTTTCAAATTTCTGAGATAAAATTTGAGTTAATTAACAGACAGGTGCGCAGCATTACATAAATAAAAAATAAATAACTATTGTATAAAACTAAAAACCGTCAAAAAGTGACTAACGCATGTTGGTAATGGAATTGAAATATTGTTCAGTACGAAAAAATAAGAAGGATAAACAAAACCACTTTATTTCATGTGTCAGATTGAAACGTAAAAAAATATTATATTCAGTTTAGTACAGGGGGTATTTTACTTAAAGTGACTATATCCCAGTTGGGTACTCCCGTAGTATGTGAACCAAGATGGTGGATGCCGGGACGTAGTATATGTACCAGGTTAGGATTGGACCATCATTTTATTCCAATTTTTTTCTTATTTTAGTGCTATAACGAGTTCTAGACTAGTTAAGTGACTCCCGTAGTATTTGTACCTGAAATTATGACCTAATCATAACCTGGCACACATACAATGTCCTGATGTCCGCCATCTTGGTTCACATACTACGGGAGTACCCCACATTCTGGTTATTTCTGATTTAAATATGAATTTCTAGAATAGTAATTCTAATTTAATTAAGGAGATTTGAAACTGAATATAAACGATGCAATCGCTCCAAAAACACACCTGAACTATGCCAAGTCGTTCCCGAAGTAAGTCTATCTTTTTCAATAAGAACAATTTTTCCAATTTCAAGTTTTGCCAAATGATACGCCGTGCTGCATCCAATGCTTCCTCCACCAATGATAACAACGTCCGCAGATTCTGGTAAAATTTAAAATAATTAAAGTTATTTTTTCAAGAAAAAGTTACAGTGTGCTGATATCGGAAGTAACACACTACTATAGCGATAGTCAGTTCAGTTGCGGTTTCCAAATGATAATAAAAATAAAGCGTAAATACAGGAAAATTCTCCAATGAGTTTATTGCAACCGAAATTCTTATCAGAATAATCGTAACGGCAGGCTGTGTTCTCTATAATTTACAATCATGTGGCCAAAGCATGATAAATGGAGGAAAGAAATATTCAGAATCTATAGTGATCGTTTCTAATCGTTTTCGTCAAACTATTTCAAATTATGAAAACGGAATTAATTGCAAGACAAACAAAACTACACGATATCCTTAATACCATCTACTGAAATAGTCATTACCTGGCAGTATGCTCGTAGTCGACGCATTAATTTTCGAATTTCTTTTTAAATCAATTTCATAAAGATTATCTTGATCATTTTGGCTTGATTTTTTGCTATAGTTTCTTTCAAATAGTCCCAAATTAAAGGAAATTTGGTCCAGAGTGTGCTTAATATTAGTTTTACTGTATCGAAACATCTGAAATACAAATCAAGTATTTTTTTTAAGTCGTTTAATTTTTTTTTTTTTTACCGGTAGATTTTTAATTCGTCTAAAACATAAATTGACTATAATTTTTTGTATCAGTGGATCCCAGATGGTTTAATGATAAGGCGAACTGCAGTCTCTCATCCAGTTATCAGCCCATGTCGGATCAGGTTATTTGTTTAGGAGTTTAGGAGTTTGTTTAGGAGTTTAGGATTGTGGCGTAAGCCGTAACCGTCCCGTCTCTATAAAATGGCGTCTGATTGTGCCAGCCTTGTCCCCTTCTAAGCCAAATTCGCTGTTTTTAGTTTGTGTAGATAAGTGTCCATAAAGTCTTAATAAAATTTAAATTGCAAAGGTAATTGGCATATTGTTTTGGCATATTGGCCCTACAGATTTAATAATGGAAGTAAAAATACTTAAACAATCACCGATTAAAAAAATTAAGATATATTCAGAACTGACTTCATAACAAAAATGAAGGAGACTTATGGACACCCTGTATATTGTGGAGAACTTGATTAAAGTAAGCATATGGTGTGAGATTTCTGCTAGTTTCAGTTTGGCAGGAGGTTAGAGTTTTCATATAAATATATGATGTGTAATTCATTTATTAGGACAATGCGTTTACGTGAACCATGCATATATATAATCCGACCGTCGAACCTGCAAACCCACGCAGAGAAATGAGAGAAGAAATGGTAAGTATATTGTCAATACTTGTTAATTTAATCTGAACAATCGCAATAATTCTAAACATTATTGTTTTCATGCGTGTAACATTGCTAACAAGTACCTTCGTCTTATCCTGATAGGAGTGACGGAAAAGTTGTTTGAGTTGGAATGGAAATTCTTCAACAATCTTTTTACAATTACATCCTTATACTTTTCGTTTGAGAAAACTTCTACAGGCTCTCTAATTTAATCAGGTCCTAAATATTTCATCACTGCAAATTTTACCAACAATCGCAATTCAATCATGAAGAATAGGTGGTGTCTAAAGGAGTATGGTATCTTATCACAGCTACATATTTTTAATCCTTATTACGAACAATATCTACTTTCAAAACAATCGTTCCTTATCTTTCGCGCTACATATTTAAGTTGCGAGTCAAGCAAGAGTGAAAACATGCGTGTCGAATCAATTATCATTTCCTGTAATCCAGGATTTCCGCATGCGGCGTCGCCATACGAATTGAGATGAGTGTCTTATTATGAGCTACACGACAAAGTAAGCAACCCTAATCGTGCTATTGAACACGAAGTGAACCAAGAGATATTTTGTTATTATTTTTTGTTGTTGATCATCATGTTAGTAATACACGAAGTGGACATATGGATCATTTTGTTATTTTGTTGTGGTTTTTGTTGGTATTCTTTTTTCTATCGTAATGAAAAAATCACTTCACTCTTCAACTACTGGACCAATTGCTTTAAAATTTTGAGTGGTTGGAGATTGTATTTTTAGCTAGAATATCACTTTTATTTATTTCAAAACTTTCCGAGGGTTTTATGTGATTCGTTTGTCATTTCCAAATTATGTGTGATAATCTCTTCAAAATTAATATAAACTATTGGTAGCGGTTATGCGACCTCCCTGGTGCTACGCGAGAGTTGGAAATTTTTACAGTGGTATAGGCAAGATCAAAGCATATATATTAGGTAAGGTTTGGCTCTCGTGTCCGTATATTTGAGCATCGCTCTCCTGTTGTTTAGCTCTCTTGCTATTATTAGTATTTCTTTTCTTCCTCTTGCTGTGAAATAAAACGCCGTTCTCATTAACTAATTGCTTTGCTAATTGCTGGTGAAAAATATCCTAGTTCTGGTGAACAAAACTACGCCAGTTATAAGCACCATTAAATAACGGGAATGATATTTATAATCATCTAAAAATAATGTACATCAACTTAACAAAATTGCTTAAACCTGAGCTATAAAGTAAATTATATGCATACATTAGCAGTCATTATAAGAAAAATTTTTCACGCTGATCCTGATGATAACGTTCAGAAAATTGAGATTTAAGGAACGTAAACAACAGATAAATCACAAAATTTAAAATCAGCTGTGAGAAAATAATGTTGATTGTTCCTTTCTGATTTTTCTAGACATTAACGCCAGTTTAAAAAGCGATTTTGTACATGTAACAATCAACTTTTTCACAAATAATAGAATAAATTAAATTTCAAAGTGCGAATCTATCATTGATATCAGATCAAAGACATCTTCATCTGCTCTGTATCACAGTCAAGCACTGAGTGAGTCACTCTGATTAAAAAATGTTTATATATAGGAATATATCTTTCCTATATCAGAATTAGTAATTATATACTCATTCAAGCAAGAAACGCAATGATTTAACGCAGAAGAAATGTTATCTATTCTCCTCATTGTAGTCAAGCACCAGTTAAATCTTCCTGATTCAAAAATGCTTTATAACATTCCGGCAGACAAATTTCATCTGTCGAAACACATTTCTGCTTCAACTTTGTAAGATCTTCTGCCGACAATGAATTTTGGAGTTGTTGTCTGTATGGATGAATAAAACTCTTTCGGCGATATTCTGATAAGTCTGAAACAAAGAATACTATGTTACTAGCAATTATATATTAGTGTATTTTCATGCTTAAACAAGTAACCGGCCAAATGTTTTAGTCGATAGCATTTGTCACAGATCTATTGTAGTTTGTAACTTATGCTGTGTCTACTTGGGATTGCAATCACTCTTGACATGGCAAATGAACTAGAAGATATTGCTTCTTACCCTTTCATTTGGTATTTTTTTAATTGGTAATCATAAACGCAATCTATGATGGTTCCAACGTAGACGTTATTTTTCCATATCACGTCACCCGGAAATAGTGTTCCCCCTCTAAAATGATAAAACAAAGGTACCGATGTCAAATAGTTCGAAATAATAAGAACGTGTATTAAATTTGGTTTAAAAAAGTTTATATTTTTGGAAAAATCCAAAACAGTTGAATCAACGGCCACAAAGTTTAGGTTATATTTACCATCATTATTTCTGTTTATATCACCAAATATTTTTAGACCCGCCTGTTCGATTATATATTCTTTCAACCTCCAATTTACAAAGACATGTTTTCAAACATTACGTTACTCACGAAACTGCCGTCAAGTTAAAAACTTTTGGATTCAAATGCTGGTTCTCTTTTTCCATCAGTGAGTTTTTTCCAATGAACTCTCTGTCGTCACCAGTTGCACATAAGTGTGATAATCCGACCTCATATGGGATGAAATCCAACAGACTAACGTTGAGAAGATTTGAAAAATCTGAAAAAACATTTTTTGGTATTATTTATTAATGTAATGTATTGTGTAGGCATAACATCATGGTATGAACACAAATCGCATACACCTGTCCTAGGCCTTGTTCGTAAAGAAAATTAAATGAATAAATACAGAAGTTTAAATTGCGGTATTACTATTGCGGTTTCAATCGATAAAACATGGTCTAAATATAATTTTCTTTCTTTTTATACATTTACTTAGTGACGTGCATGAACTGCTCACCTGAATGATTCGAAACAGACTTCAGAGATCTTAATCCAGTAGGAATTGGTCGAATGCTTGAAGATGTCAAGGAATTAAAGATGGAAACAGCATCTTTCATGTTACATTGGATTTGATAACATATCAAAGAAGACGTGTTTTTTGTTCTGTGATTTGTAAAATATATGCATTACAGTTTTAAACATCATAAAATTGAACTTTCAGAAAAAATTTAAACTAAGGGTTAACTGAAGTAAAACAAATTGCGGCGTGCTGCTTCAAAAGTATCACATGGATTGCGAACCTCGTGTCCTATTATTGTAACAAACAACATACGAAATGCCATAGTTCTGAAAATTTGTGAATACGACCTTCCAAGATCCTCAGAAAATCTTCCAGTAAAACGGTTGGACTACAAAGCCTTTCCCAGCTTCAAGAGTCATCACGCACTATTGATGATCGAAACACCCATCATAAATTTATTACGTTACTCTAAAATTTATTACAGAACAAGCGTATCTTAAACTTATAGTAATGTGAACACAATATGGAAGCCTCCAACTCTAACCTGAATTTAAGTACTTCGATAATATTCAATACACAGTAATGATGATAACAACAGGTTTAGGAGAATGTATTGTAAAGGAAAAAACCTGCTCCAATTTCACAATAATTAGAAATAAGACGAGAAAATAACCTGCATATTAGTACTTTTGTATTATTCATTTCACAGTTTATACATTGACCAGGTTGCAAGTCTTTCCAATCGTCAGTGACGCGATGTAGGAGTTTTGTGCTAAAAAAATAAATAAATATATCCATCATGAATGATTTGTACCTAAATACAAGCCGTAAGCAATTGTTTGGTTCTGGTATAGCTGCACCAGGGGTGCATTGATGAAAATGTATAAATTTCAATGTGACATGTATTGTTTCATTTTCTATATTTAAATATGTTAAAAAAATTTGAGCATGATTCCATGATAAGAATGAAAATAGAATGAAATAATGAATAGAGTCCATGTTTTTCATTTCATAACAGTTGCCAGTGATATGAACTCCAGAAGTCGATTTCAACCAATATCGGCGATGTAATGATTCAAACAGTTACCCCATAATACTAAAATAAACATAATTTAGACTAATTTATTTTAAAGCGTCATCTGCATATTTCCTATGAAGATCTAATCTTTGATACAAAATATTCACGACATTTTAACAACTTTAACGGCCTACAATATTTCGTTACCACCTTTCAGGCCCCCATAAGGTCAAAAGAGCAAATCTTCCTGTGATATCTTCGACAGAGCAATTGTAAATATTGTATTGTACCAACTGGTTGATGTGATGAAGAATAAATTCTTGTTGTTGCGAAGGAGCAGTGATTCGATACTTATCTGTGAGTATTCTGACATAATTAAAATATTCAAATATTTATAATCTATGCTAAGATATCGTTACTTATGTGTAAAAGATTGCCACATTAAGTCTCAAATTGTCATACAGGACGATCTCATGCAAATCCCTGCAATTTTCTCCAATTTATTATTGGAATAAATTGCTTCCAGCATTGAAGAAAATATGCAAAGCGTATTTTATACGGCTTTCCGTCAAGCCAGGTTTTGTACAGTTATTCACTTCGGAACTTCAAGGGTGCGCGATGATACAAAGCGTTGGTAAAACATCCCGCTTTAAAATCCCATGCCTATCTCTTCATCCCGGTGTAATTAACTCGGTACGAAATGCTGACCAAGAGATAAAACGGGCTTTACGTAATAGAAAATGAAACGGACTTTCCGTAATCAGCAGTGGATGATCGTACAGAGGCTTGTTCACAGGGAAATGCGCATACAAGCGTTGAAGAAAGACAACGAATATAGTTTCAATTAGAAGTGTTTGGGGTAGAATCTGGTGCGTAGTTCATGCAGGACTCGAGTTTTCAAATGTGTAGTATTATAGGGTGTGCATAAAGTCCCAAATTTTTTTTAAATTGTTAAAATCTTGTTTTGGCGCTCACAGATGTATTAAATAAAGTAAAAATGCTTTAAACAGTTACTGATTTAAAAACAACAAACCAGGTTTTGAGATATATTGAGAACTGACTTCATAACAAAATTTAAACTGTAAAGCGACTTTATGGGCACCCTGTATATTCAACTTTGAGCTTAAAATGAGTATTTAGGGTTTAAATGTTCTTAGACTTCAGAATATCTTTTATGAACTTGTTTTAAATATGTATTTTTTGTCCAAAACAATATCCCCATATTCAAACAAAGAAACTTCTTACTTTCATGCTTATTAACAGTGACGTAACTTAATATTTTTCCTTCTTCGTTTAGCATTAGCGTTTCAGTTTGATGATTATTCAACAAGTTTGTGACATCACAAGTGAAAAGTTGCTTTGCTATTTTATCAGATTCTGATCCAGAAATTTCAAACTGACTCAAATGAGATAAATCGACAATGGCTGCAGAGTTTGAAATTGCTTCTACTTCGATTCCAACCTATTTAATAAGAAAGATAACTTGGCTAATGGGCTGAACAATTCAACAAACATTGCAAAAAGTGTTAAATGAAAATGAAGATCATTATTAGATCGAAACCTTTTTATGTATGTCCACATCTGGCAAGTGACTTCCATCTCTATCCATTATTTCTCTGTATTTGTAATCCACATTCTTTTTGTATCCGTAACAGCCGGAATAATCGTAGTTGAGTAAAGGTAGGGTCTGGCCAGGCATAAAAAACTCTGGCACTTCCCAGCCATGAATACACGTGAAATACGCCCCTTTTCTGAGGTGAATCTGAAATAACATAGCGTTGCTTTATAAATTCGTGTTTTTCTTTCGTAACGAGAAATCTCTTATGAAAGTTATAAAAACAATACCAGATGTAAATTTCAATTATAAATTGATACCAATTACATTAAAGTCGTAGAACAATAAGTCAGGAATCGTTTAGCCATTGACACATACTTCAACAAGCAGTTGCCAAACTCGAACCCGGGGTCAACTCGAATGTAAAAATTATAATCTCGCCTTAGATAATGGAGTTGTTCTGAGATTTCTGCCGGCTAATGGCTTCTGATTATGATGTTTTGGTTCATATCTTGTTGAAACATGTTCGTGGCAACTTTCTTTCAACCATGCCTCATTGTAAGTAGACGAAAATCGACTGTTTAATAAAAGAGCATTTATTTATATTAAAAATAATTGATATCCTTATTTCCAAATTCACTTTTCGAAATAGCGTACCAGGTTGCACTTAAGTTTGAATACTACCATTCATGAAATCAAGATGATCAGCGATGATTGTTAGATTAAACATAAAAATTTTAATGTGCATTTTTGTATTGCATTGTTGACACAGATTCTTTAATTTTGACTAAATCTCAGATATTAATACATTAACAGCTTTGTCACTTACTTCAGATCACAAACTCCTAAATCAATTTCTGGTTTACCATACGCCACCCAGCGGGCAATCTGCTTTCCTGCTCCTCCTCCCTGATGAAATTTTTAAAAGTGATTAAAAAACAGAGTAGCAGTTTTACGTAGTCAAAAGATGGATATTAAATTTTTATCGGCTCTCGAAATTTGGTGCCATATTTAATCAAAATCCAAGCCAAAGCACTATTATAAATTATATCAATGCCCTATTACATACCAACATCATTCCACCGCTGTTAAAAGCACTCGCATTGAAAAATCCCTTGACATATTGAGATTCCCCAATGAGAGGATTTCCATCAGGTGTAAATGATTCTAAAAAGAAATGTGTGTAGGTAAATATTAGATTTTCGGCGCTCCAGAAGTATGTGTACCAATATGGAGGTAACTAGTTTGTTCGCCTACTTTACATCAAGATGTGTAACGGGACGAAAGCACAACACAAACAGTCCCCGAGCTCGTAATAGAACTAAAATAAGGAAAATCGGAATCAAATTATGGCCTAACATGAACCAGGTACACATACTACGGGAGCAGAAGATTTTCTCTAATTTGTTAAAGCCTCGACTTACCTGGTCCACATACAGTAGATCTGATTCCAACTTTTGCGACAGCAGGAACGAGATCCGTTGCCGATTTGATATGAGGTTCGAATCGATTCCAGTCCATGTCGTATAAACCAAATGAAAAATCTTTTTCTACCTTCGAAAGTTATTTAAAATTAGAAAGTTACTTTGCATTTGAACTTACTTGGGAATTTTTAAGTTTTATTCCGCCCTATGAATGTATATTGTTCAGATATGTATTAAGTGAAGAGCGCTGCAGAAGTGTGTATACCAATATGGAGGTAACTAATTTTGTTCACCTACTTTACATCAGGTTGTAAAGGTTCAAAAGTATATTGGCAGGGAGCATATTCACTTTGCTAACACAGACAGTCCACGATCCCGTAATAGAACTAAAATAAGGAAAATCGGAATAAAATTGTGCCCTAACTGGTACACACATTACGGGACTACCAAGTGAAGATATATGTGGAAGCAAATAAATTTGAAATAGCAACGAATGTAGTAACCAATGGAATAGGGATAAGAACCAAGTCAAACTTTTTAACCTTGACATGAGCAAACAACAGCCCGGGGCCAGATCCGGACGGTCGGCCAATTCAACCTGGCCCGCCTGATGCTGTCACAACCAAATTAAAACCAAATTTTCATGTTTTAGCTAAAAATAGCTCAAGGAATTTGTTGAGATTGCGATTAAATATAGTTTTGGCACGATGCTCATTGTTTTCCACTTTGATCTGGTAAGACTGTAAATATTGCTCATACAATGCAAATTTCACGTCTCACTTACATCGCCCGCCAGTATAGGATGGGCAAAATTACGAGTAACATCTCACCAATCCAACAAGTTTCAAATTTTTCTCATATCCTCCGAATAGTAAAGCATCTCCTTGTCGCTTGTGATAAACTCCCTTATCTAGGTCCCGAAGATGCGGAACATTTTCAATACCCGGAATGCCTTCAACAACATTTATATTGAAATAATTTTAAATAAGATTTTTCTAGTTTTGCCGAGGAATAAGCAAATAAATTTATATAAATGAATATATGAATAAATTCAGAATTTGCCTAACTGATCTATTAGTTGAAAGCTGAGAAAGTCTGACACCAGTCATTCAAAACTTTGAAAAGGTATTTTTGTGTTAGACTGGCTAAGAACGTAAATAGGGTTCCGATTGACCATCTTCAGGGGCATTGCAACGCAAGGAAACGAATTGCACAGAGTCCACTACACTTATACGTAGCTCATCGCTTCTAATACCTCGAAAATAAAAATTATATCAAATTCTGTAAGCGGGTACTAACACAAAGCCTCTTGATTCACGTTGAATGATCATTTTTATTTTTGCTACACTTATTTATTATACGCGTGCAGATTCAAGAGAAAGGCATAAATGAAGTAGTGCATTTATATAGGCGACATACATCTATTCATGACTATACTTTGTATCATACATACCTTGCGTTACAACGTACGCTATCTTGTAAGTCAGCTGCGGAAGTTGCATACCCACCATCTGTAGAATTATATGTGAAATATTACAAAGCAAAATGTTTAATAGTTATATGGGGTGTCCCTTCATAATTTCAGTTTTGTTATGAAGTCAGTTCGCAATATATCGTATCGTAACCAAGTCTTTTGGATCAGTTATTGTTCAAGTCTTTTTACTTCATTTAATACATATGTGAGAGTCAAAACAATATATGGTATCAATAAATTTCCTTTGCAATTTAAAAAAGTTTTGGACCTCCAATAACATAAAACAATTGCCAAAATTTGAGTTAAAATCTCAGGGAATTTTCCGTTAATTTTTTCCGTGTTCTTATTAAAAAACATTTTGCACAATAATCTTTTTTCCACAAGAACGCTGCTATGATGTACCTACATACATAATTTCTTTTCACGTTTACTACCACAACGTGACAATAATGCTAATTTGTTAACTTGTATCTAAAAATGTTGACAGAAACCGACACAAACTTACCTTTGCGATATACGGAGCCCAAGCACCAGTGCAATTAATTACTTTATTTGTCCTGATGCTGCCTAGGTTCGTTTCTATGGAAACAATCGTTTTCTTTCCCGGTATATCACCATCTGTTTTGATATATTTTACTTCGCACTTCTCTATAACCTGGAATAGAATAAAACAATATTTATCAGACAGTAACATCAGTTCGCTTTTCCTATAAACGTTGAAAATTTTTAAACAATAGATAAAAGCGGAATTGTTTATAGATTTTTATTGGGAAATGTGATTGAATGAATATTCATCTCTCAGTTAATATTTCAATAATGGTGTGTCGATTTTTGATAACCCAACATCTATTGATATTGCCTCCGCTTGGTAGATATTTTTATTTTTATTAATATTTGTTATTTTCGGAGAATTTTTTCAAAGCAAGGTCACGCCTACGCACTTAGAAATAAATGTGACTGATCTCTGGGAGAAGGTTGTAAGCGATCGCTGAAATGCCAAACAAAATCAAAACACTGAACTCTGAACCCTAAAAAGATTGCTACCTGTGCTTTATATTTTGTTGCAGCCTTGATGTATGATGTACACAATGTTGCTGGATCAAGCGATCCGTCATCCGGTGAGTACAATCCACCCAGTATTCCTCCAGTGTCAATGAGTGGATGTAACTTGGATATTTCATCTGTATCAATCATACGTAATTCAACTCCAAGTTCTGAACCCATCTATTAATTTTGGACGATAAATTTAAATGCAGCAAAAATGATAAACGCATATAAATTAACAATATACAAATTATTTCAACCTATACAGCTTTGCAATATATATTAAAATACAGATAAATGCTTTATCATGATTATTCATAATATATTATGCATTCCAGACGAGTGACCTGGGCCGGAAAATCATCGCGAATCGTAAAATTGAAATAAAATATGCCTATATTAGATTATAATATTTTATATTAGAATTAAAATCAATAAATTACTCTGATACATAACACTGAGATTTTAAATTAATACATTTGCTGGCGTGGTAGTATAAGAGTTGCAAACTGCTTGTATGAGAAAATCTGATTTTGGCCAGACGAAACGTTACAGAAATACATTTGTGTTGGTGTGTAGCAAGACTCTTGAATTGCATAGTATGGAGTTATATATTATTTTAATTTATACCAAATACGAGCGAACTTAGACAAGAGGGTAGGTGGACTTATTGCAGAACTGTTTTATCTTTAACCTACCAAACTCAATTTTTCTAATGCATCCATTTGTGTTTCTCTTCTGGTCAAATATATCGAGCCGGTCTTTATCCATCCAGAATCGAACCCAGTCTCTTCAGGAAGAATGCGGCTCAGTAATTGTTGGGTATGTATTTGCATTTGAGTTAACGACCGATGTCCCCGTAGATTCCATAGTATACCTGATATATAAATAAGTACAGATTGACAACTTGGAAACTCAATATTTGAATACATATGTTACAAATACACGTTGAATAAAAATCACACCTGCACTATGCCAAGTCGTCCCTGAAGTAAGTTTATCTTTTTCAATAAGAACAACTTTTCCAATGTCGAGTTTGGCCAGATGATACGCCGTACTGCATCCTACGCTTCCGCCGCCAATGATAACAACGTCCGCAGATTCTGGTAACATTTTAGAAAATTAAATTTTACTTTCGGAAAAAAACACGCTGTGACTTCGTAAATAGCAAAATGTAGCCAAAAAGAAATAGTTTATTTTATCTCATTTTATATGTTATAAATTTTCGAAATTTAGGTTTTCCTCGCAGTTCTTATATGGGCGAGCTTCCACAGATATATGAAATATAAAAATATTCTGCTTTTTTGAAACCATGACATAATACCCTGAATTAGGCAAACTAAAATTTAAAATAAATCACCATTTTCATGCAAACCAGATCAAAATAGAAAATTCGAGAATGAAATTAACTGTAAGAGATCCAAACTATCCTGTTCAAGTACCTGGCAGCACACTCGTAGTCGATGCATTATTTTCTGCAGTCTTTTTACTTCATTTAATTAATACATCTGTGAGGGCCAAAACAATATATGGTATCAATAAATTTAAAAAAAATTTAGGACCTCTAACAACATAAAACAATTGCCAAAATTTGAGTAAAAATCTCACGGAATTTTCCGTTAATTCTTTCCGTGTTCTTATTAAAAAACTTTTTGCACAATAATATTGTTTCCACAAGAACGCTGCCATGATGTACCTTCATGCAAACCAGATCAAAACAGAAAATTCGAGAATGAAATTAACTCCAGAAGATCCAAACTATTCTGTTCAATGGCGCCCCTACTTCACGTGTCCAGATTATACTATAAGTACCTGGCAGCACACTCGTAGTCGATGCATTATTTTCTGAACTTCTTTTTAAAGAATTTTTGTAAGGAACATCGTGACTATTCTGGTTATAGTTTTTGATAAAGTTCCTCTTCAGCGGGCTCAAATTCCGGGAAATTCGGCCCAAAATGTGCCTAATATTAATTTTGCTGGTTAGAATCATCTGAAATACAAACCAGTTATTTTTTTATGCTGTTCGATTAGGTTTCTTTTATCCGTAGTCAGTTAATTTTTTCAATAAAAACTATGAAACTGAGTGCAGCTTTCTGTCGCGGACTGTATTTATAGTATCTGATATTACGGTAATATTTATTGCTGAGGAGGAAAAATAGATACACATCCCAAACATTGAGGAGTCGGGGTCTTTGGTCCGGTTACCAGTTCATTTTGGGTTATAAAAGTTTCAGATGCATGAAGTTGAGGGTGGGGGTTTGTGACGGTTTGATGAACCATCCCAGGGCGCAGAAGACCCAGTTACACTCTCGCACATACCGCTTAGAACGATGCACCCACCAATCGTCTATAAATGCTTTTTAGTTGGAATTCCTTATGTTTCAACAACAATCTATGATTGTAAACATTCGGCCGAAACTAATTGTGGGCTATTCAGCGTCACCCACTTTTTATACAATATATAAGCATATATTGCTGTAATGAGATTGTTGATGGCGAATAACATCACATTTATATGTTATTGCCTGACTTACTGTTTTAATATACAAAACATGACTTAACCTTAATCTTAACCCGATAGTGATAATCGAAATTTTAGTGAAAGAGTTGAAATCTGTTAACCGACTTAGGGATTTACTGTAATCCATAAATATACACTTCTTTGAACAAACTAATATACAGCCTTTCAACGCGATCCTAAATTTTTCTCACTGGTATTTTATAGTTCAGTACAATCTATTAATGCCATATGAATATCCAAATAAAGAAGGTATGCTAAAGCTATATGCTCTCAACCATTATGAAGAGCCTCCACCAAGCTTCAAAAACAATCAATACAATTCTCTGAATCGCATATCGAATAGGCAAGACGTGAACAGTTAATCCTGCGGTCGAGCTAAGGAGGAAATATATGAGCGTTTGTAATCGATTTGCCGAATGTTTCATTATTCAAACCTCGCACTGCCGTTAAAGATTGCAGTCAGATTCCGGTCCCGGATTGGAATGCAAATGCAGTTGACATCAATATTACAGTTTATGGGTAATGTTTACATTTGCGAACGGCGACTTTTCAACAAGATTTTCATATTCCCAACGACATTTCTCCATACAAATGATACAGTGTCTCATTGAACCACTGTTGATGCTTTTAATGGGTGCAACCCTGAACGGCAACGGAAACAAGGTGGCGGAGAAAACATGATAATAGGAGAGACATGGGATACTTGATACGTCGTGTTCAAAGTAGACCAAATTGTATTAAGACCAGCCATAAAGCGTGAGACATTTATTACCCATGACGAAAAGTGTCTTAATACCTCTACGCGAGTGTTCTCGACTGTGCAATACAGAAAACAACAATATCAGTTTATGTAATACATATATATTATATAGGCTTACCATACGTCCCGCTTTAGGCGGGGCAGTCCCGCTTTTCAGCGATTTGTCCCGCCGTCCAGATAAGTCAGCCAAAAGTCACGTTTTGAAGAAATCGCTTTTCTCTTCAAATACTGGACCAATTGCTTTGAAATTTCCAGTGGTTGAAGATAAAAATTTTCTCCAGAAGGCTATTACTTTTTTTTTGCTATGACGTCATCAAAATTATGTGACCCTCCGTGTCCATATATTTGAGCATAGCTCTCTTGTCTTTATATCAATTGACTATATTTATTTTTTAGAGCAGTGGTTTTCAAACGGAGATTAGTATAGTCCCCGAAGGTTTTGCAAGTTCTTTAATCAGATTTGCTATATTAAATAGCTGATTTGTAATCTAGAAAGTCAATCCATGGTCTGCTGTTACAGTGGTTATAAATTGCTATCTTTCAAACGTGCTTGTATCCGATTTTGCTAAGACTAATCTATAATAATTAGAAACACGAGCCTAAACCTAATAGCCCAGCGTACTTTACTAAAGTCGACACGAAACTCTGTAGCTTTCTACACTTTTCTCGGCAATTTGCAAGAAATCGTCAAAACAAGATATCGACGTTTCGATTGGCTGAAGGCTGCGACACAGCCCACAACGCCCTTATCATATTGTCAAAGACATTTATCAACGGGCGAAAATCATTTTAGCAAACAGGTTTCCCAAACGTAATCTATGAGCCATGTTTGGAAGTTACCACAGAAGATATAATACCTATATGCGTATGGTATCCGGATTGAACCGGATTTCAACGCGCGTGGGCAAGTAAGTAAACCTAAATTTTCGAATAATAACAAAAAAGTCAACAATGCAATACCAAGCATTCGAGACCTTAACTAGTGTACAAACAAGGTGGTCGCGCACATAACGCTAGCACAGTGTGTACGTTCGTCGTTTCGAAGACACCTCGTTGCGTATAGTGATGTCAATGCCCTTAAATTCAACGACAGCCTTAAACTAAGTGGTTTCATGACTCTCTCCATCAATATCAGATCTTTAGCCTCTTTCAAAAACTTCACAAAATTTGAAGCACTAGTTAATTCACTGAATTGTAAGCCTCATGTAATTGCTGTAAATGAAACATGGATTGTATCTGGTACAAATGGCCATTTCAATGCACTGGATGGCTATGTTTTTATCTCTAATAGTAGATCTCATCACCGAGGTGGTGGTGTTGGTCTCTACATTCGAAATGATTTGAAATACATTGTCCGCAAAGATATTACTATAATGTGCGAAAAGGTTTTTGAATCTATATTCATTGACATATCATTGGAAAATAAAACAATAACCTGCGGTACTATTTATAGATCACCACTAACTGATGAATTGAACAATGCTAACTTTCGGAATCTCTTGTCCCAAGTTCTCTCAAAGATGAACAGGTTGAATTATAATTATATAATGGGTGACTTCAACTATAATCTTATTGATGAGTCCAATATGAATACCAGCCTATTTGTTGATATTATGCACAACATGGCCTATTATTCTTTGATAAACTGCCCCACCAGGATAACTTCAAGTTCTGCTACCTGTATAGACCACATCTGGACAAACGTATATGATAAAAAAATTAACAGTGCTGTTTTAGCAGAATGTGTTTCTGATCATCTGCCGATTGTACAATGCTCTCTTCTAGAAAAGCAATTTCAGACCAGAATTGAAACGCTTTATCGCCAGTTTACTTCGTCCAACTTGAATACTTTTATGAATGAACTGAATTCTATTGATATTGATGACTTCAGCAGCATCGAGGATCCCAACACTTGCTTTGAAATTTTTTTTGAAAAATTCTCCACTGCTTACTTTCAATCTTTTCCCTACAAAAAACAGACAGACAGATCAAACAAACCTTGGTATGATACTGAGTTGTGCAAACTCAACAAAGTCAAACATAAACTTTATAAGAAATTAATAAACAATAAAAACATAAATGACAAGCACAAATTACAGTTCAATGAATGCAGGAACCTTTATACTCGATTGCTCCACAAAAAGAAATCAAATTATTACAAATCTAAATTTGCTTCTCACAAAGGCAACATCAAGGCAGTGTGGAAAACAATTAATGAACTTATTGGTAAAAATAAAACAAATTCTTGTCCTTTGATTGGATTTGATTGCAGTAATACACAAACTGCAAATAAATTTAATGAACACTTTTCCCAAGTGGCACAAAGCCTGCTTGACTGTATGCCACAACCAGCTGGCTGTGACAAAAATTACATTTCATATCTTGGGAAGCAAGAATCCTCATCCATGTTCTTAAGGCCAGCTACATCATTAGAAATAAAAAATATTATACGCGATATGAAGCCCAAGTCAAGTTTTGGAATCGATGGTATTCCATTTAAAATATTGAAATATGTTCCAGAACATATTATTGATATCCTGACATATATATTTAATCTTTCACTATCTAGTGGATTATTCATTGAAAGCTTCAAGACATCCAAAGTTCTTCCTCTCTTTAAAAAGGGTAGTGTTTCAGATCTTGGAAACTATAGACCTATTAGTCTTTTACCATCATTTTCTAAGATTCTTGAAAAAATAATGTATAGTAGAATGTCAAACTACTTTGAAACTAACAATGTTTTCCACTCGCATCAATTTGGTTTCCGCAAGCATCACTCCACTGCTATGGCTGCTAATGTTTTGGTACACAAACTGACCAATGCGTTTGAATACAAACAACATGCAATTGGAATATTTCTTGATATCTCAAAAGCTTTTGACACCATTGACCATTCCATCCTCTTAAGTAAGCTCTATCACTATGGAATTAGAGGCGTTCCATTCAATTGGATCAAGAGCTACCTTCAAGACAGGAAGCAAATTGTGCAATATGACAACTCATTCTCTACAAATATTTGTGTCATGAAGCACGGAGTTCCACAAGGATCTTTACTTGGCCCATTATTTTTTCTAGCTTACATTAATGACATGTCCAGGTGTCTGAAATCCTCTGAGTCGATCATGTTTGCTGATGACACTAACTTGATTCTTCATGGGGAAAACCTTGAAGATCTATTCACAGTTGCAAACCAAGAACTAACCAACATTCGTAGCTGGATGTTAGTTAATAAATTATCTCTGAATGCTAACAAAACTAAATTTGTATTATTCCATCCAAGCAAGCATAAAAGTGTGAGTTGTTCAAAAAAACTACTGCTCAATGGCAATGAAATTGAAAGAGTGAAAGAAATAAAATTTCTAGGAGTTATCTTTGATGAAAATCTGTCATGGAAATCACAAATAATGCATGTTATTGGTAAAACAAAAAGAAACCTAGCAGTTTCTGCCAAAGTATCCCAGTGTGTTGATCAATCAGCTCTACTAGCAATGTTTCAATCATTACTACTTAGCCATATTCGATATTGTTGTTCAGTCTGGCTTCATGGTAATAAAACACTTGTCTCAAAACTGCAGAGTATTTGTAATAATTTTTTAAGAATAGTTTTTGGTAAAAGAAAACGTGAAAGTGTAGAATCTTACTTCAAATCACTAAATATACTTAAGGTTGAAGATATGATGAAATTTGAAATATTATCTCTAGCTCACGACTTCCATAATAATGCGCTGCCCAATTGCTTTAATGACATACTTGTCAAAAATACCTCCAACCGAAGAAGCAGTTCTGATTTATTCGTACCTTTCATGAGTAAATCCGTGAGTCAGCATTCCTTGTCTTTTACTGGACCCAAACTTTGGAATTCTCTTCCCTTAAATTTGAAGACCTTAAAGTCCAAAAAATCTTTTCAAAAACAAGTCAAGTCTCATTTAGTTTCCAAATATTAAAAATTACTACTGGTGGTATTCGATGACAAAAACTTGGGACACTCCACACTTGCACATTATTGTTTTAATGAAAATGTTGAACAGCTATAATAATATTGTTATATCTTGCCACGACTTGGCCAGAACTAGTCCAGCACCAAAGAAATGGTATTGTGACATGCTTGAGTATATATATATTTTTTTTAAATATATAGGTAGCTAACGTACCCGGATGATATTTTCTTTAAATAACTGCACACATTCTATCACTTCACGCTCGTGTTTTTATCTTTTTCTAGCTGTGATGTCCTTATCATACACGCTTGGTCTTATGTTTGAGTGGTGGTATAAGGGTTGTAGATAGTACAATATTGTTCCTGCAAGGTTACTAATTATTGCAACTAGGCGAGCAGTAGAGCTATGTTGGTTTCTCCCCTTCAGATTTTAATTTGCTGTGGGTCATTGTAATTGGATGTGGTTTTTATATCATTTATGTATGCATGCGTTTTATGTTAGGGCATGGTTGGTTTGAGCTGACTTGTTGGCCAAGGTATATTTAGTAAAATTTTGTGTGTTTTTTGCATGGTGTGATAAATTTTTCTCTGTCCCAAGCAGAATGTCATCATAGATCATCTATCCATCGCTATACAATGACAATACATCCCATTTAATTAAACAATTATTTTTTGCCTGTAATAAATAGTTCAGAGCGTTCCCCTTCACCCAATCATTGAAACATCTACTCGCAGTTTTATTTTTTGTTTTTCAGGTTACTTCAAAGTGATTAAATGAAGTAAAACACATAAGAAAAAAATCAAAAAAAGACTCCGATATCCTGTGAAATAACAACCTTATTCCTATATCCTTGTCTGAAATCAATACCCAAGAATGAAAAACCTCACTTACACCCTTTGTAACCAATTTATTTCCACATCCTACTTTACTTAATTATAGTAATTTTAGTGTTACCGGTAACTTTAATTACTTACTACAATCTGGACTATAATTTGGCAATAATAGGCTCTAATTTGGGGAATGAAATGGTCTCGCCCACCTCTTCATGCACCCAATTCTGGCAACTTTGGTTGGGCAACTTGGCATTTGACTCCAACTATAATCAGCTTGGCAATATGTTTTCAATAGAATCTTCCTTTTATATCTTAATTAACGATTAAAAGATCGATCAATTTGGCAATGGCAATCATTACAAAAATATCAATATGGTGTGGCAGAAAATTTTTTTTTTCTTTTCTTGTATTTATTTATTTTTTTTGTTTACTGTATAGTATACCCTAAATTTATCGCGTCTTATTCTTACTTAAATAAATTCTCAGTGGTTGTGTGTGTGTGTGTGTGGCTGGTGGGTGCATGTGAGCGTGTGTGAAATAACTTAATAATTTTAGGTGAGTAAACACGTACCACTTCCTCTTGGCAAAACCTTCCATCTTATATTTTGTACGTTATAAACCTTATCTAAGGTTTTGTTTGCTCCCCTGATTTCATAATCACTTTTTATTTATTTGTTTTTATCTGTCAAATGTATTGTTATGCTGATTATGGAGTCGAAATAAACTTATACTTATATACTTATATACTTATACTTATATATAGGCGGATATTAATTACTTTTTTGAGCAGTGTTTTCTGCGGCTTCTGAGCACTCAGATAAATCGAGTGGGTAAAACTAGCCTGAAATAGAACGACTTATTGAACTTTTCCTCTGATGTCATCAGGCCCTATTTAAAGCCAGAGCGGAATATTGGATATAATATAAAACTCGAACACATGACCGACAAATACGAGAGAGTTCATTTGCTAAAGGCAAACAAAAAAACAGTTGAAAATCCATCAATCTTGAAACCTATGTTCTATCGTTCCATGCGCAGTATAAAGGATCCGATACTTGTATAAAAAGCCCGTAAGAGAAAATTTGTTGCGAATGAAATAAAATTTTGTTCCCTAGATTTGTTCATAGTCAAGATAAAGTCCTTTAAAATCTCAGTCATTTCTCATTTATAGATATCATAATATAGAAATTATAGATTGAGTTTGATCCAAAAATACGTTCAAATAACATATATACAGTGTCACGTTATCAAATTTGGGAACACTGGCAATGACTCTTTTAATTGTAATTAAATTACTTGGTTGAGGAATGCTCATATATATTATATATGGAGGTGGCGATCAAATGACAACCAATGATTGCTGGTGATAATGATGGTTCACTGATGGCCAGATTGTCGTTTCTGAGATTTGTTCATATACAGGCAAGGGTGGAATCGGCTATACATATTACACAATTTCATAATGACCGATTCAGAACATTTTAGTATAGTCACATGTCAAAAAGCTACCACGACCAAGTATATTTATCATAAACGATGAAACAGAAAGTCTAAGTTCAAATTTCATATCAATTATAATAAATAAACCTTCCAACATTTGAAAAAAGGTCGATAAAATTTGAAGAAAATATAGATATAGAATTCAAAATTGGTACTAAAAAAAAATTGACATGATTAGGACAATATCTCAAAGAGTTAGGAAATAAGAATTTCATTTGTAGATTTTAAACAATTAAACAGAAAAGTTATTGACTTCAAAATTTATCTAAGATTTATGCCTGATTGAAGAAATCCAGTAAAGGTTAGCAGCACAATGAGTTTAATGACCCAACATCAGTTTGAGTACTTACCAGAGAGGAAATTTACCAAGGAATAATAAAAATCTATACAAATGTTTAAAGTAGAAAACTTGAAGCTTTCAACATCATGTTGTAGAAGTGAATGTTCTATCACTTCCTATAGCAGATTCCTGTGCATTTTTTTCTTCCATTTCAACATCAGTTTGACTCTGAGATTTGTCGGATATTTCTGTTTCATCATCGTCTGAGTCATCCAAAGGCTTCAAAAAATAGAGATATTGCTCCTTTTTTATGCTGAACAACCAAGAAAATCGACTACTCCCTAGTTTCCTCCCATTCTAATATCAGTCAAGTCAAGGATGTGGGATTAATCAATTCAGGATAATAATTTTATATTTATTCAGGAGAGTGAAGTCAATAGGACGGCGTAATCGTATGACAAGCACACTTTGTACAGTTTTATGTCCATGTCAGGTATGGGAATAGTTAAATATTTACTTTATAGTGATGAAAGTTGTGCGACCAGCAAGTTACATGAAACACCTATGGTGGCGAGAATTCCAGAGATCCTCTTACACATAATGTACCCCCATGCAATTCAAACCTGAACCTGTGCATGCATGTCTTGAGGTACACAGGAAGTGTACCTATATAGAGGTAACTACTTTTGTTTGCCTATTTTACATTAATTTGTGTAAAGGGACTGAAACCTATGGGCAGGGGGTATATTCACTTGGCTAACACACAGTCCCGAACTCGTAATAGAACTAAACTGAGGAAAATCGGAATAAAATTATGGCCTAGCCCTGACCTGGTACACATACTATGGGACTATCGGAAAAAGTGTTCCTCAATTAATCAAAACCTCAAACAATTAGTAATATAAAGCAATTTATCATTCCAGTTGTAAGATGGAAGTTAAAAATTCAACACAGTGTCTGACAATGGAAATGAATATAAAACAATTTTTCTTCCGGAATATACAAGCAAACTACTGACCTGTCCAGCTACCTGCACTGGGCCATGTAAATCATTCTCAGGTTGAATGGCATTACTTGTTGTGGCAGGTTCTGTCTTGCACATCCTTCGCTGATCAATAGTTACATTTCCAGCATTCCCAATAAGATTTTTTACTTTGACATTACCAAGAAATCTTATGTTGGAAACTTTGTTTGGTCTTTCTGAAATAGAGAAATATTTGTATGAGTATGACTGAATACAAAGTTGCAATATACAATTGTAAATATACTACTACCCCAACATTTTGGAACACTGAACTTCTTTTAGTAACAGGCAGTCAGGTTATTCCGATAACCCTGCGCAGGTAGGTTCAGAGGTCATACATAACCTTGTGAGACATAAATATGTGAGAGAATTGCTGAACTCTGCACCGCCATAGCATGGTTTAGGCAACTGCTGGTCAGTTATAGCTTCTTTCACCATCAAATCCATGCATCTGAAAGGAATAATTGGCTAACTATTTCCACACCAATAGAACAGTACCTGGGTAAAAGACCGAGATTAAGTTGTCTTATCAGTTTTCCCATTCCTAGATTAAACATAAAAATCCCATCCTACCCAAAACTTTATCAGTTAGACAGTTTCGAGGACAGATAGAACCAATTTAAAAACCTGTAATATTGATTTTATGTAATGAACACATAAGGAATCTGGGAAAACAAACAGCTACTGCAGTCCTCAAGAAACTATTTCATAATTTATTAATCAATTGCATCACATTACATTTGTAATTTATCAATTAAACTTAATACCTGACATCAGTGATAATCCAGGTTGAGATGGCTGTGTTAGATTTGATGTCATCCTTCGTACTTTTTCATATCTAAAATTATCTGAGATAAGAGAAAATCCATTATATAAATGCCCACATTTGAGATCAATATATGCAAACACAAATTAAATTTATTTTACAAATATAGCTCTGATGGTCAAAATGTAACAACTTATTGCATTCATGTATGTCTCTCACAAAGAATCCAAGTTAACTGAGGCAGTCTATGCCTTTATTTATTCATTCATTGATCTGCGTATTTACTATTAAGGAGTACAGGACAAATTGTCTATGCTTTATATCAGTGGTCGGCAACCACCGGGCCGCAGCCCATTGCCGGTCCGCGGAAAGAGTACTACCGGTCCGCAGAAAGCTTACAAAAAACGTCCGCAAAAAACGTACAATGCCCTAATAGCATTGTTACCAGTATGTGAGGTCAGATTTTTAAAATTGACAACTACAAAAACGAAATATTGAAGTAGGACGAACGTAAGAAACACGTTAAACGTTGTTTTTGAATGTATTGTCAACATAACTTTTCTAGCGCATATAATTTATTACATTAGATCAGTTCGTCTGTAATTTGTACAAAGGTGGTCCACCAAAATTTTGGTCAGATGTCACCGTTCCGTCACTGAAAAAAGATTGCCGACCACCGCTTTATATGTTTGGTTTCACTTAAACTGCACACTTTCAATCGGAAAAGGTATGTTATAATATTACTTTTCTCACGACACATTTCAGGTTGTGCACCATCAAGGAGTACTCTCTGATCAATTTTTACATCCCCTGCATCAGTAATTACATTTTCTGCTTGAACTGATCCGAAGAATTCAACATTTGTCTGGCAGCTTGGACCTAAATGTACATAAATATATCTTCTCTTAATTCAAGTGAAGGACGGGAGAAATGTGCTGACAGTTCCATATATATATTTCATCAAGTAAAACCCTAGTTGCAGTTAAATATCAGTGACCTCAGAAAGTTCATGTATTACTAGAAATGGGCAAACATAACAGTTTATATCAACTACTTATAGAGTTGGCTATAATTTATTTGGATGATTAAGATTTTGAAGTTATCGCCGCCATGAGGAAATACATAAAAACCCACTCTCATTCAAATTTCTGTCATTGACTGAGTTTGATTTTTCAGATGTGCTGATCTGTTTGGTGAAGGGAAAATGAAAACCAATGGTTTCATGCACCTAAATCCAATGAAAGTTGCAGCATTTTTATTGTTCATTTTACTTGAAGTTCGAAATCCCTAACTTCAGGACAGGGGGTTCAATATGTGAACTTGTACCAGATATCTAATGATACAACTAACTAATAATTTCTTTTCTCCAAGTTCTACTGAAATTTTTTGAAATAAAAAAAATATAAATCAAAAACTAAACTCGGAATAGGCACTTTAATGAGTTATTTATTACCTTTATGTGGATGTATTGCAACAACAGAGGATTCTTCTGATATAATTTCCACTGTTCCATTCATTTCTCTAACTTGTTTTATCATGAATAATGGATGTGATGGAACACTTTGGAGATCATGAGCATTAGAATGCCCTCTGACAGTTTCAAGAAATCTTTCAGTTATCTTTATTTGACCTTCACAACTTGGTTGGTTTTCAACCTAAAAATTATTTATTTTGAATTTAATAAAGTGTTGGATAAAGCTTCCATATATAAGGTAAATCCATAGTAAAATTGTTTGTCATTTTTTGAGTTCAAGACATGTTGGGTTAAATTTCATTGCTAAAGTACCAGTAGCATAATAGCCAAATAGTAAACCAGTAATCAAGATGTAACAAGAAAAACATTACAATGCTCGTTGTAACATTCATTGCAAGAGTCGCAAAGAAAGTAGTTATAAAATTATGTTCATTGATACTTTGTGTCTTCGATTGTGAGATTCAAACTATTTAAAATCTCCCTGTAGATGGTTGGATCTGGAAGAAAATAGAGTTTCATATTTCCTGGTCATTCATTGGTCCTATGGCTCAATAATATATGATAATTTATAGAAATAATTTATCCCTAATAATCTATGATAGTAGGATAATTCGCATATGAACATCTGACCATCAATAACAGAAATTTCATAAATCTAGAATTCCCAAACTGTTTTATTGGATATTAGACCCTTGGGTGTCGCTGCTCGATAACCAGTTTTGGTTTCCTGTGACTTCCCTTGCCCAGTAAAACTGTAAATATCATTTTCTCATGATTTGTGTACAATTTAATATTTTTTACTGGTTGTAAAAATAAATTAGACTTGAACTTGACTTTTAAACATTGTAACCAATACCTAACTCGATACCTTGTACATATTTTATTTTTTGCACCTTATCATCAGAAGTAAGTTTGTAGTGAATTTCATCACCAAGAGATGCAATGATTTCTTTCATCTTATGAAGTGCAATGCTACATCCTCCAATCTTCATGTCGGCGTTCAGACAGCTCTCTGAAATCTATTAGTAAATGTTTTTCAGTACGAAGAAAAAAAATTGGAACAAAATTTTGAATAGAAAATGATTCAATATAGGTAAACATGAAAATTAGGATGGCTAGTACATATTTGTATAGTGCAGGGGGGCCAGATACAAGTACCTGGGTGAATTGCCTTGTTCGATTCGCACAAGCTAGCTGCTGGGGCATTGTGAAGTCACAGACATAGATAATAAACTGGACTCAGGAATAGGCTTTGCAGCGCAAAAGGATTGGAATTACTCACACATACCAGATCAAACTAAATTAAAAACTCGTCTTGCCGGCTGCACACCATTTAGAATTGGCACTCCTCTGCTGGCCACACAATTTTTCCTTGTGGGCACCCCTGCTATAGTGCATGAAAACCAGCAGTGCGAGATATAAGAATAATTCCCATCCGCTAGCCATGTAAAAGAGAGAGTACCATGTAAAGTTTCCCATGATGCAAAACAAATGTTCAAATACTGTGAAATGAATTTTGAATAGTAAATAATACATTATACCTGATCGCTGAATCCAAGTGCAACTTTAAAAGAACTAACATCCTTGCTAAATAGGTACGGTTTCAACATGAAATTTACATTTGGCAAACTTCTTTTATGCAAGAAAGCTGTGATATTGCTGAGTTCCTTCAACTTAAAACAAAGTAGCAATAAATACTAATTAATTTTAGTATTTTCATATTTTGGGGAGAGGAAATCTAATACGGTGGCTTAATCCTATGGCGAACCACAGCCGCTCATCTGGATACCAGTTCATTTCGGGTAGGAGATTAGTTAGACAATTATTCATTATTTTCAGATATATGAACTTGTGCTGGAGAGAGGCGTGTAACAAACCAACGGTTAAACGAGAATATCGGTCGGAGACCGAAGACTTATCGATCGAAACTGCGGTTTCGATTCATGACTCTATAGTGACACCACGTGTCGCATCACTAATTCATTAATAACTCGCTAATTATACAACATAATTCATCCAAAATCAATAGGCTTTTGGTCCGCGATATGATGAATGCACATGCAAAATTTGGAGCAGATTCAACCACCCCTTCGTGAGATATCGCGTGCATCCAACAGACAGACAGATACTCATCAATATACTTACCGATTAAAATCGATGAACCACCCTATGAAGGCGACAAGTCTGCCAACCTGCGCAGGGTCAAAGGTGCAACGGCAAGACTAATCCTAATGCTTAGCACAATGCGACACACCATCGAGTCAAGGAATATTGATACTTACTGACAAATAATAACTAGATACCATTAAATCACCTGAATATCAAATATTCTTTCATCAGTCACTGCTGCAGAATCCAGTTCAATCCAGTCAGATTCAGATTGTTTGGTATAAATTGAAACATCAACTGATTTATCAGTTACTAACCTTAAAAAATATAAAGTCATAAAAAACTACCATAATTTCATGTTCTAACTGAAGATTATAGCATTGAATGTCAAACATAAAAAACCAGACTGCAAAAATTCCGCAGGTCGCATCATTAAAGCCATGGACAAAAGCAATGAATATAAGATCTACAATATTTCAATTATACTACCTAAGTTGAGTGACATAAAGAATTATGTACACCAACTTCCAATAGGAAGATGTAACAAAATATGATGGCGAGGCAACGCCGATCTGGAAAAATTCCAGTCCTTCTCAAGTACATACTGATGACTGCTTCTACAAAGCCAAAAGTCAAAAGAGAAAACATGAAAAAAGTGCTGTATGAAAAATAATAGTAAAAACATCATTTTTCTCACTTCAAACTTTAATACTAAACAAAGTTTTTCCAATTTATTATATACCAAAGTTACCACCTTTTCAATGAATACAACAATCAGAGAATTACCATGTTGGAAGTTGGATATGAATAGCTTTCCGGAATAACACAGCTGGTTCACATGTGAGCGTGACACTAGCTTGTACATGATGCTCAGGTAAATTGCCATTGTTGATACTCAATGTTAACTTTATATTCTGACTTTCAGAAACAGACTTCGGAAGATAACGAATATTACATAGACCAACTTTCAAAGCACCGCCAACTGGTCTGATTTCTGTTGAAAAATAAAATAGTGTCAGGCATCTGGCCATGTTCTCAACTAATCATGTCAACAATATATTTAATTAATATTTGTCAAAAATTCTTCAAAACTTTTTGAGGGATGCGTCTATTTTATAAAAATAAAATTTTGGAAATTTTTTTTATTATAATCTAGAAATGTGGTAATTTGAATACCATAATCCATCTGTTTCAGTTATTTTTAAAGATAACTGACTTTTGGATCAAACAAGAATTTCTTCCAATATAATCTGGATGAATATTAATGCAGCTTGGCTAGGAAAAGAGGGAGTTGTATGACTACAGATGTACAATTAGCACTAAAATATTGTAACCAACGTTGGTTTATTACTTTGATTTAAATGAAATTCCAGATGGAATAATATCAAAATTTCATACAGTAATTTTTTTTTGTTATGCTAAATTTCGAAGTTATATTGTCAACTGCTTACCATGCACGATAGATTTGGAAGTAGAAGAGATTGGTATAGATCCAGGTTGTGGTGAACTCATAATTTCAACTGCAAGTGAATGGAGTGCAAAATTAAAAAGATAAATAATATTGTAGTACAAGAATTTGCTAATGAATTTTAACACTTTCAGATTTTAATTTCTATATACAGATATATATTCCTATATTCAGTACATTTTAAAAACTTACTGTCATTCATTGTATTTTCCAGTCCGCTGTACAGTAATACTGTCCGTATAGTATACTGATATATTAATGTTAAATTCCAGAACTTAGTGGGTGGCAATTAAGGGTACTCCTGAAGTATGCGCACCAAGATGTCGCATAACCTGAACCTCAACCTGAGTTCAGGATGTGCGCCATCTTGGTGCGCATACTTCAGGAGGTACAAATATAGCGATTGGGTTCAAAAATTCGTTGAAGAGAAGAGTGTGTTTGATTCACACAATCAATGTTTACCTTACTACCACAAATAAATTATTACATATGTTATAATATTCTCACACTACCACCCACAGGCGACAGACAACCTTTTTTTTGCCGAATAAATTCCAATGCCAAACGGACTTTTTGTATTAATATTTTGGAATCGAATCATTTTATTTTAAATACGGTACAGAGTTTTTTGTTTCCATGTAGAGTATAAATCCAAATAAATACAAAATTCATACCATTACCACGATGTCATTAATTTACGGTAATACAGTAATATAATCCCTATAGTCTACTGATATATGTCCAAAGAAGTTGAGTTAATCCACTCATGTAATCCACTCAGCAGTTGTATATAATTTTAATTACAGGTAATCAGTTTATTTTAGTTAGCATGAAAAATCAAAAAAAAAAAAAAATTAGACAGAGAATATGGAAAAAACCACGCTTTTGTATTGGGTTTTTCCTATTTGCCACCTATGTTCCATAGTCCATACACCATCTGCTTATGAAAATGATGTACAAATAATACACTTTCAATAATTTTCACAGTATGGTGTTGCATATAAACTTACAATATGATTGACCTATGTATACAGGTATAAGATCATCAATGTGTTCATATAACAATAAATCATTTCTTTCGCTTGCTTTTAGTAAATTTAAAATCCCTACCCGTATACACTTAAAAATCGAACGCATACTACTTTTCATTTTATCTATTTGATCAAATTTTACTGAATTTCGATATTCCCAAATTGTTGATTTTCCGCATATTATAGTGATTAATTTTGACTACGCCTAGCTGCGACCTGCTAGACAGAAAACACAGATAAAAATATTTACCGGGGGGTTCCCCCAAAATTTGTTTGACTGCATTAGTGGTGGTAGCCGTGGTGGCATTGGGAGCAGCGCATTGCGCACAGTCAGGATCGGTATGATAGTCGTTGGTCAGGATTGACAATTCATCCATCCATTTTATCGTTGTTTATGAAATCTATAATGAAAAGCCAGACACGACTTTTAAAAAGTAGCAACAGTAATTCGACTCGAATAGGTACTCGAATTTGCTGTAACTCGGCTGGTGATACGTTACTGTAACTTGCTCGTTGCGAGCATCGCATTAGGAGCAGCACATTGGGCACAGTGAGGCCGCATTAGGAGCAGCGCATTGGGCACAATGCGTGGTCGCATCAAGAGCAGCGCATTAGGCACAGTGAGACCGTATTAGCAACAGCGCATTGGACACAATACGAATACGTGGTCGCATTAAGAGCAGCGCATTGGGCACAGTGAGGCCGCCTTAAGAGCAGCGCATTGGGCACAGTGAGGCCGCATTAGGAGCAGCGCGTTGGGCACAATGCGTGGTCGCATTAAGAGCAGCGCATGAGACACAGTGAGGCCGTATTAGCAGCAGCGCATTACGCACAGTCGGGATTTAGCATTATTTATGGAATCTATAAAGTCGAACACGAATTTTAAATAGAATTCGACTTGACTTGGCAATCGAATTTGCTGGGACTCGGACCGGTGATATGTAGCCCTAATTTTATGGGGTATTCCATACATCCCATTCAACAAGGCTTTGAATAAGAAGTTACCAATACATCTGCTATGCATTTCAGAAAAAAGTTATGGGTGTTCCCATAAGTATGTGCGAATAATTCACATGATGAAATCAACTTTCCTTCAACCTGAATTGAATGCAATTATATCTTTCTTAACCTCGATGTTTATGCGAAATAAAAACAACAGCAATGGAAAATGATTTTATTTTTAATCATACCACACACATAACATAAAGGAAAGAGACTTAAACTGTCATTTATTAATATTTCATTCTAATCACTTATAGTCATAACATATTTCAATTCTTTGCTTTACGTATATCTTTGAAGTTTATGCTCAGCTCTGGAAGGAGTTTCTTCTGATGATATTTCAATTGTTTGGCCATACGGCAGGTTCTTTTTGGAAATTTAGGTCCATGTTCACTTCCACCTTCATGCATCAAAACCCCAGCTGCATGAACCATTTCGTGTATTATTATTCCCAACCCATTCTCCCTAGATTTGATAAAAACGACTGAGAAGTCTTTTTTGATATAGAAGCCGGCGACAATGTGGAAGCTTCTTTTTGGTGTAGGCTATACCTCTTCATATGTTTCTGTGAAACTAAGTTCCGCATGCCACGCATTTATGCATTTTTTACCGTCGTCAGGCATACTGCAACCGCAAAACATGTCGCAAAACCATGTAAATGTTGGGTTTTCAAATCCAATTCTCGATTCACAGCAATGTTGGCAATGTGGAACATGGTGTATGTTTTGTTGATTAATCTGCCTTCCAGCGGGGTCTACTCCGTGACTCAAAATTACGGACAATGAATTTATACAATAAAACTGAGAATACATAACAAGTGAAAGTGATTGCACGTGAGACGACCACGTCTATAACCCTATTTTATTGTGTTTGCCCATATTAATTCTTAACACTTGAGTCACTAGTGAGCAGCTGTGTAACTTTCTCTTTCTGCTGGTCTGTCAGACTGCCGGTAGTGTAGATATTTCCTCTGTATATTAGGTTATTATTATAGTGTTTTAATGCCGTAAATCTATGTAATTCTTGTTGTAAAATGATATTAGTAGTACAGGTTTACTATTTCTCCAGTTTGGCATAGCTCTGTTCACTAGTTAGCTTGTATTTAATACTTCCGTAACTAGTCTATCTTCGCAGTTTATTTCTTGTGTGATTTCTATGCGTATTTCCATGTATATTACGTGTTTGTCGATAAGGTAGGATTTGTGTTGTATCTTTAGTGTCATACTAGTTATTCATATGTATATCTAGGTATGTTTTACCCGGTTTTTAGTATCCCATTATAAGTAAATAGTTCATGACTGTGACGTCATAGACCAATTCCGTATCTTGTGTTACGTATGTATCCTACGGTATTTGTACTGTGTTTTTCATGTTTTTATTTGTTTATTGTATTTCTTATTGGAGTATTTGGTTGTATTAAGTATTTGGTTGTATTAAGTTCTTACAGGTGTATAATTAATCTAGTTAGTTAACTTAGTTACTCTGCTGTATTTGGAACCGAAAGAAGATTATTTTGTGATCGACATCTATAGCAATTACAACGTCCAAGAAGCTGGCAGAAAGAACCTGAGTGGTGATATCAATTTTGGTACGCCACGCGCGATTTGCGCTTGACCTATTGAGTTTAAAAAAGTATTCAGACATAAACTGGTACTTCCATGAACAGTTTACCAATTACATTTCCTTAATAATTTACATTGAATAGTCAAAATCTAATAAATACTGCCTCACTTCTGAAAATATACTCTGAAGTTCACAAACATGTTGAAGCCTGTAACGCAGTATCGCTTTTCTATTTTAGTGTTGTTTCCTCAATTTAAATTAATTTTATTCTGAACTGAATTATAAGTAATTCGGAATCATGGGGCAAAATTAAGTCGTATGTGTTTTTCTAACGTTTCGTTGGAGCATAGCAAGACTTCTTTGAACAAACATACTCATGATAAAAAAGCAACTGTAAGTAAACATACACAGTGAGAATCGCGCCTGTATGTTGAAGAATCAATAAAACTTTTTAATGCATCATTAACAGTGGGGAACTTGGATAATAAAGCTGATTGATAAGTATCCAGCGGTTTTATATTGAGTAATTTATGTCAATAAGTATGGCATTATTTCTTTTCACGAAATAACAAGTACATTTGTAAGCTTTCGTTAGATCATAGTCTAACTCCTTTAGACAAACAAGCTATAACTGCAGATATGAATGTTTTCTAATCCTGTTGTTCAAAATAGTTTGAAGTCGCCTATAAATCTTCGGTATGTCTTAATAATCATTTTATTCTCATCGAAGTTATCTGGCACAATAAGACAAATATATTTTCCTATTGTTTCGTCTGACCAATTTTGGACATACATGATTCTACTGTAACAACAAAAGGCAAAGCTGTTAAGTTACAGCTGTTAAATTACAGTAACGTGTCACCAACCTAGTTCTATCAAATTCGAGTACCAAGTCAAGTCGAATCACTGTTGCTACTTTTTAAAAGTCGAGTCTGGCCTGTCCTTATAGATTCCCTAAACAATGATAAAATGGATAGATGAATTGTCAATCCTGACTGTGCACAATGCGCTGCTCCTAATGCGACCTCGCATTGTGTCCAATGCGCTGCTTCAATGCGATCTCGCATTGTGCTGCGCCTAATGCGACTTCACTGTGCCCAATGCGCTGCTCCTAATGTGATCTTGCATTGTGCCCAATGCACTGTGCCTAATGCGGCTTTACTGTGCCCAATGCGCTGCTCCTAATGCGGCCTCACTGTGCGTTTTGCGCTGCTCCTAAGGCTAGCAACCCCTCTCTTGCATGACGTGTGTTTCAGTGCGGGATCAGTTGATCGCCGTCATTTTAGATAGTGGTTTATTTTGAAAACTGCATATTACAGCCAACTTATAAATGTATTATTCTGGAGAGCAAGCAAAGCTTTAAAAAAAGTTTAAAACATAAGAAATATCATGTGCCCGCAGCACACACACCAAAAAAAAAATACAAAATGGATTGAATTTTCGGGCTGTTTTACTTTTACATGAAAATACATAATTTAAAAGTCTTGAAAATAATGAATTATATTTTCGCATTTATGCATCCAATCTTTTTTCGCGCTGGCAGCACGGTGCTGCTCCTGGGATTTGGCCTGTTCTTCGTGTACGTTTGTACTCGTATATTGGAATCATACAAACGTTATAAAAGGAAGCGCCGTCTAAGTGATACCGGAGGAGATGGTAATAATGACAAAAGTGTGTAGAAATGAGTATATTGAAGAACATTTTGAAGGTAAGAGAAATTGCCTATTAGCACAATATGCTGTTAGGAATAGCAATATTAGTGTTTATGGACCAGTCTGTGTGTTGCTTAAGAGTTTGGGACCTCGACTGTCCAGATTTTGTATTCTGTAGTCTGCATGCTGACGTATCAAATAGCTTGTAAACGCATACCTATTGAGACTCGAGTCTTGTAACGGCATGCAGTACAGTGTGTGAATCCTCAATAAGTTTAAACACAAAAATACGTTGTACCCAAATCCACAAAAAGTCACGTCACATATTTTATGAGGTCAATTTTTCGATCGTCATTTTTTTTTTTGCGTGGCCGATATTTGTCGTAGCAGATTTATGGACTTGTGAATGATTCAGTTACATCAAATTTATAATTTGTTTTCTTACGAAGCTTGCGCATCACATGTGGTTCCGACCTACCTATGAATATAGCGAGTGTTTTCCGTTGGGTAAACTTTTAACATTATGCAACAACTCCCATTTTCTTCTATTACAATCCGCCCTAAGCCACCTTAACAACGATTATCCATTGAGAGTTTATAGCAAGTATCCATAGCAACATGCGGACCACTTTCATGCAATAGAATTGCTTCGTAAATTACCTATTACGAATTTCTTGTTGTCTCTCAAAATTTGTTCACTGTTCCGGATTCATATTTTTTAATATTCAACCCCGGGCTTAGCCATTTTATTCAAATTTAACACTCTACCAATAATATATTCGTCTTACAGAATACTTGTAATTTTTTTTGACGCAGTCTGCAAACGAGATGGAGATGTTATAAAAATGAATTCGCAATTCATTTATTCCAAACCGTTATAGAAAACGGCGGATAGATGAGGACATTGGACCTGTTGGATGTTGTGGCCTTGCAAAGCCCGCATGGCGAAAACTTGTTTAACAAGAATAAAATAATTAAGAAACGCTCGTACCAATATCAATTTTTCCTACTTGTCTCAGTCGTTTATGGCTTTATGCGACTAAATGCCCTCCAACAACCTTGACGAAGGATTCCGTGGTTCCGAAAATTTTCCACCCAGTCCTGAATCAATTTTGAAAGATTTTCCAGTTCGAGTAGTTCTGACTTCAGCCACATCGATTGAAGTTTCAAATAAAAGCGAAACGAGGATTTTTAAAATAATAATATTTGAACAAGAAATATAAGAAACGGGAAATCGGTAAAAGATTATTGATGTAGTGCACTGCTTGATGAACTGTTGTGCCTTTCTTAACTGTTTCACGCGTTCTTCGAACAGATATTAGCACACAGACAGTCTTTCAACTTAAAAATATAATGAAGTACTGGCTTCGAAAACTACTTTTTTCAATTTTTTGAGTCAGTAATCTACCACTCGCGGAATGACCCTAAGCTTTTTCAATACTTTTTATTGCATAGTGTTTCTCATCGTTACAGAACCGATATCCAGTAGATGTTGCCAGCTACGACTTATTGGTGGTTTGCACAATAAACTGCTCGGAAACGATAGAGTAGCTAGCTGCCTTTTCGACTGGAGTGCCTTGCCACATAAGCCTACATTATATAAAATCAGACAATACATTTTAAATAGAAAACAATGAAAACTTCAGCAGACTGTTCGGGTCGAAACAATACATGAGTCTGCTCCGTGTCCAGTAAAATGCATGGAAATAAACAACGATGAATAAATCGACTTCATGTCCACTAAAATGCAAACCAATAAAAACTGCAAACTGTGTGGACCCAATCCAAGAGTTTTAATCGTGTTGTTAGCCATCATCTTTTCAAACTACCTGTACCTATTGGTGTGTCCAAATGTTTGCTGTTGAACTTCACGTACTTCAAACAATGGGAATTTCTTTCTACTATTATTATTACAACTATTATTCGCTGTTTAAGAATAGCAATCTTTCATTTTAGTAATCGGAATAATAATCTCGACTCACATTATGACAAGACATTTTAAATGCTCGCATCGACCATGGATTGAATATTTTGAGTAACTTATACCAGTAACTTGGAGAACCGGACAAACAGGATTGAATATAGACATACAGACTAGCTTGTATATCTTTTATACATCAGACCTTCTTTGAAAAAATGTGTGTTGATCATTTGTATCAAGTGATTTCAATCTGAGGGACTTCGTGGAAACAGAAATAATCGACTTAGCTATCGGCATTGAATTGGTCGGTAAATTCATGCGAGAGAAACAATTTATAGGAACAATCGATGCTCAAGACAGCAAGATGGAAGCTCCGGAATGTTGGACGTTGCAAAGACTTAAATCATTTACTCCAATTTCTACGAATTCGAACCAATTTTGTAACATAAGAAGCAACGCCCAAAACTAGTCTTCGTGTTTTTATGTTTGTTGTTTACTTTTTAGCTTTATTTGTTTACAGAAAAACAGCAGCTAATCAATTAATTGTTATTTTTGGTATTCGCATTTCGGCACAGGCACCGTCACATAATTTCCAAATGTTTGTATTGTTCACGACTTTTACTCATCAAAATTATTTACAACATTACAAGTAGGCTTCGCCCGTGAAATTTATTTTCTCGTGATCATGTACTCTGTTCATTAATTTATTCTGGTATGATTGCCGTGTAGTTACTTGTGTGGGTGTGTGTATTCATTTGTGTGAGTGTGGGTGAATGGGCACAGGCGCTGGTTACAGCGTTCATTATAAACATTTATATAGGTTTTGCCCATTTTCTCGATCTTTCGGTTGCCTTTTTCTGTGTGTTTTTTACTTTTATTGTAGACGAAAGATCGAAATAAAATTGTATTGTATAACTTCGCGGTTTTGCGCACCGGATTTCACTCCGTGCTCCGTCCATTATTAAAGTTCCGTTCTATTATCGTTCCACAATCAGACAATGACAGAACAGAGTGACAGCAAGGTCTCGAATTTCCCAAGTCACGAGACTGTTTGCTGTGGTGTTAAAGGTTTCACGAAACTAGAGATTCAGTATTTACGTAAACTACTGATAACTGGATAAGGACTTACGTTACAGTTACTGAGTTACGGGATTTAAGTTCACTAATATCTAGTACAGTAGTACCACAAGTACCGTACCGGTACCCTTCCAATCGGCATGGAATACGGTACCTAATTATTTTTGCTTATGTTATTCCTAACCCCCACCTGACTAGCCTATCTGCCTATGGCATCCAAAAATTACGTCGCTACGACGACATCATCACTTTATAGAGCTTGTCAAAATACAATTACTCCTGTACTCGCTAACGTCGGCGTTCTCTATCACAGAGTTTCTGAAACTTTTCGAGCCGATGAAAGTTGTGAATCCTATTTTTGACGGACCCCCATCCTATATCGTATCAATTTCTGTGCCAGACAACGAGAAAGAATAATGTTTCCTTCGACAAAATCTGAATCAATTTCAAATCTGAATTAATTTCGTTTAATGCCCCTTTCTTGTAGCAACGGTAACGGGCTCAAAATATTACCTTAGCAGGCGCACAAGTTATTGATACTGGTAATAACTCAGTAACCCTTACAATCAATTATTACGACGATGTAGCTCTGTGACGAGGTTCCCCCCTTATAGACGCTAAAGGCAAGAATCATTCTAAAACAGCTTTTTCACTCTCATTGTTTCGCAACAATAACAATTTGCGATTACGTGAACTTACGACTTTATCTCATTTACGAATTGTTATGTGACAATGTATCTACGTTGAAATGTATATGTTTCAGACTCTTTCCATATCGTTGCGGACCCCCTGTTCAGTTGTCACGGACCCCAGTTTGGGAAACGCTGCTCTATCATATCGTGATCGTTGCGAGGAAAAAACAAGAGAAATAGCTTGTTCTGTTTTAGATGATTGTCTGCGCCTTTTGGACGATCATCTGCATTCTTTGGTGGGGGCTTATTACGCCACTGTGATGTCGCAATGACTTAATTTTAATTTTTTGGTGACGTGGTCAGGTGGGGGTTAGGAATGACATCTGCAAAAATTGTTGAGCCAGGCCAACTATACTAGACCCCATAAGCCATACCGTAACTCAATAAAAAAGTTAAAAACGTACAAGTACTGAAGTGCGGTACCGTCAGACCGTACGGACAAGTACAGACATAAGAATAAAAGGTAGGGCTACGCATTTTCAATGAAATTTTATTGTTTATTTTGCGATTGGTTTTACAGTGTTGCTCAATAGTGATTATATGTGTGGAAAGTATCACAGCATAAAAACTTGGAAGCATCTATTTTGCTTACGTGGAGCCATATACGTGATACCGTTTTCGAAAACCCAGTGATGGCAAGCATGCGTAGATTTTTCACTTCATCAAGTCATTTTTGGTAAATAAATCTTCTGGGGAAACTGTTTTGGGGTCTGGTATAGTTGAGCAAGGAAAACTAGGAGACATGTGGTACTAAACCATACCAGACCTCTGTTTTGTATAGGTAGTTTAATTTTCCCACTAAGGGCACTATCTACATGCCATTTAGTATTTGAGCTCGGCAGTGTGGCACTATATGATTGAGTCTTCATATCGGCTCTACTCTTCACCGGGGTAAATTTGTAAATCCTATCCATCCGATATCATTTTCATAACTTTTTTTAAAATAAAAAAGGGTTCCTTGAAAAAAATATTGGGGAATCACTAATCTATCTCATTACAGTTTATTCTCAACTCGAGGGAACATTCCTGAATTTTACGTGATTTATTTTTTTTCGTCTTGGCTGAAATGAAAACTCATATCTTGTCTGGGTAATTCATTAATATAAATAAATTAATATGTTTTTGTAATAGAATATTTTTTCTACTGATAAAATGTAGAGATGCAATATTCAATCTCCTTAGCCCTTTGCACAAGAGTGAAATAATTCTTATTGCTCACCAATCATCATCCATATTATTATTGTAGAAGCAAATTATAAAAACCAATGTGTATCGGCTTTCGACTGAAAAACTGATACCACCGCTGCATCGTTAGATGCCGTGAGAGGTCGGTCCATTTTAGACAAATTTTGGATTATTATTATGGTATGTGTCTAATTGAAATTTTGCACTGTTTGCTGTTGTGCTGTGAATATGTTTGTGGTCCCATTGCTTGAATGCTACCATTAAATTTGAAGATGATTTGTATTTTCTTACCAATTCTTCTGCTCAATGTAATAAATATACGGTACTTGATATTAAAAGCTATCAAGGTATCAAATATATCATATGCCGTTATTTGTTTTGAATGGTTTGTTTACTTTAGTGGAGATAAAGTATACTTACAGACTTCTTCAATTATTTCTCACAATCTATGCCTATTGCAAGAGAAATCAAGTTTGGCCATCAGAAATCCTTGGAAATGGAAGTGATATATGGCAGATTTATTATGTCAATCAATGAAAATGGGCATTCGGGTCGTCATTTCATACTCTGTTTCCGAAATATTTGTTTGAGGACAAAGTAGCAACCAAACATATATATTCCTATAGCTGTTTACTTTCATTTTTCTTCTCAAGCATCTCATGTGAACCAGTCTAATGTGTTGTTTCATAGCATTTATTAATGATTAATCAGATTTTAGGATTCTAATTCTTCACCACGTTTTTTGTTGGTTTGCTTACTGTACTCACATATTTTAAGGCAAATTCGGCTATAAGACTCATTGGTATTTAAAGCAATATTGTAATGAGTTTGAGTATATACAATAAGGCGTAAGGCGCTACCTGATCCAATATCGTGGGAACAGATGGGGCCTAGGTCACATTTTTTAAAATTTCATCTTTATTCTGGGGTTTTGAGCAATGTTCTACGTCATGTGGTCTTTAAATTCGTAATTTTTCAATAATAAAAATTTTAGCTGGACTTAGAAGTGGTGTAGGCTATTTTATAAACGTTGGAAACAAAGTCCCTAATGGGGTTGAAAAACAGGAAGGAATCAAAGCTGTAGTGCCAGAGGATGTTGATTATGAAGCCATTTTCAGACATATTATTAAACATAACCAGAGCTCAGGGTTTACTGAGCATGCATATCTACCGATATTCAAATATAATGAAACTAAAATTTGTTTTTCTGTGATTTTCTCAAAACTAAAATTTGTGACTTACCGTAGGCCTTTTCTGTTCTCATCTAGAAATATCTGTATTCTTAGATATTATGAAACTTACATATATCTTGGATTTTAGTATAGTTATGTCATAATTGAGCCACCCATGGAGGGTTCTTTGTACAAATGGTATGGACCTTTTTCAAGATGGCATAACCGTTATTGCATTGTGAATAATGGTCAGCTTGAATTTTATTCATCGAAAAATGCTCTTCAAGAAGGACAACGTAGCCTTGAAACACATCATATCTCATTTTGTGAAATCACTGTTGACAAAACATCTCTCGTTGATTGGAGTATTCAGGTACCTTGCCATCCCATCATATATCTGAAAACAGATACAAAGGAAGAAAGGAGACGTTGGCTTCGAATTTTAGGCTCTGCCAAAGCGTGTTTGACAAATACGTCTGCATTAAACCTAATTAATCCGCAATATTCGAACACAATAAATAATGGTTCACCAGAAAGTATTAGTACATCAGTTCAAGAAGCTGGAGACCCTATTACCTCACAACCGGATAATAATGCAATTGAAATTTGTAGTCAAATTTCATCGGAAGAACCTTCCGAAAATTTAAGAGAGCAAAATAGAACTGAGACTGATGATGATAATATTCGAGACATCATGGAAAATGAAGTTATTTTAGATGAAAATGCAACAAAAAAACTTACATCAATTTGTGATGACATTAGATGCGAACTGGATTCATTTCAAAAATTATATTGTTCTGAAGTAGTCGGTTCTATTAAATCCATTCATAAAGATGCAAGCAAATTGTGTTTCCAATTTTCACTGTTTAAACATTTTATGCAATCCATGACTGGAAAACAATTGGACCAGTTACGTCCTGAAGATGAATGTAGCCAGAGTGAAATTGAATCTCAAGTCACAATTGACAGTGGATATGAAGTAATGGCTGCTCAACCAACTCAAATTTGTGATGAAGAAAAATTGAATTTGGAAACTTTTTTTACAACTGTGAAAGTGTCTTTTCGTGATGTCATGAATGAAGCAAACCAGTGTTCATCGGATTTATTATCTCTTGTGAAGACTGAAACGTATATGGAAGCTTGTCTGGAATATACTAAATTTTTTGATATTTTTGCTGGCACTTTACTAAGTCCATTGAAAAATGACATATTAGGCAATGTAGAAAAAATTCGTAAGGAATTTGTAAAAGATCCTGAAAGGTATGTTTACATACAATTGATAATCGAGGATGAAATTTCAAGAAAGGGACATTTGCATTCTGACAGTGCAACACAGGCAGTGTTATGGATGATGCGTGGCTTACGAACGGTTTCTGCTTTTTTCAACTATTCTACAACACCTGAGCATCACAGTTTTAAAATTGCTGCATCTGCGTTCGAGGAAGCATACAGTGAATATCTTAAACCATATCATAATTTTGTTGTTCGTAGAATGTTCACCATGGGACTTAAATTGATCCCAAACTTGGATTATTTTAAAAAGCAAGTAGTTTATTGTGATGTTGATACCACCTCTCCCGAAGTGGAAAATGAACTTTTTAGACAAGTACAAGAATATCAAAAAGCTATGTCTGAGGTTGTCAGTTCGATAGAAAAAATTTATTTACATCATAACCTTGCCTTATGATTTCTCGAACAATAATATGAATCACGGACTTTTAAGTGGGGTTAAATACATAATATGTTCATTAGAATATTTAACGAATCGTGCTGTCAAGATTGCTGTTATTTCCGAAGTTGTATGGGTGGAAATGTTATGTCAAATTATCTAGTAAAAATGTAAAACTATGAAAATTAAACGGCTCTTGTTTTTGAAAAATTAAGTAATACATCTCAATTGGGCTCATTCACCTGTTTATCTTCAGACGCTCAAATTGTAGAACAAAAATAAGTGTGTTATTAAAGATTTAATCTGCCTCTTTCTTTTTGTCATAAAATAAGCAGTTTTTCTAGAAATTATCCAATATAGTGTTTCAGTTTTTATGTATCCCTTTTTTTTGATACTAGTCATGTAAAATTCTGTTTCCAATCCAGCCCTCCCACTGATAAGTGGAACTCCTGCGCGGGTATTACGTTTTTGTGGTTATGCATTTAATCTCCCAAACGTCATATTGTACACAACACACTGGTTCGGTTATTTGTTTTATGACGCTGTTATAGATTTTTATTTATCTTATGTCCAAATACCTCACTGTACCAGATTTGCCAGTTATTTTGAATCGAATTGAAAATGTTCAGAATAAATAATGCCAAGCCTTTATTTGATAACTCTTTCACTAACCTGACTAGAATAAATGAGGTAAAGCATCTCGAATTGAATTGAAAAAATAGCGAGCTTTAGATTTTATGTAAGGTTGTGTTTGTGTGAATAATCAGAGTTGTTTTTTTGCTTATAATTCGTTTGACTAATTTTGTGGTAGTTATAAATTTCTGTAATATTTCCCATAATCTTTTAAAAATAAGATCATTATTATTTTAGTTATGTGTTGATGGAAGGTTATTATTGTTCCAGCTATGATCTCTCTTAATATGCAATAATTAAGCTTATTCAATTACACCTTTCCATGTCATTTTTCAATAATCATGCATGCCATTTAATTATTTTGAAATATGTCTTATCAAGGCAAAGGTGAATGAATATTATGCATTGTGCCAGGAATATTTTCTGTTTTGAGTCTATAGCAAGCTTATCAATCAACTGATATTTGAACATATTTCTAGGATATACCTGTCTTAATGAGTAAAAGTAAATGCGTACTTGTATATAATTTGTTCATGTATTCAATCAAGTATCAAGTGTTATTCCATATCTGTATTAATAAATGTCATGTTTTCTAATCTTAGCCGATTTTAGATTCTTTTACTAGTTTGGTTGCCAAAATGGGTATATTTAGCAAGGTATCTATCTACAGTTTTCTTTTACATCGAGAAATTAAATTAAACATGCATGTATAATTTACAACAATAGATTTCTTCAATTTGATTAGTGTTACTGTAATGTTTTTGATCAAACATGAGTCAACAGAATAAACATTGGTTATATTTTCTGTATGCATTTGAATTACTTTCATTTCCTTTTTTTTCAAATTATTGAAGTTGATGATGCAATAGTTGAAAAACAAATATTGACTTTCAAATATAGTTAGTTTTAAAATATTTTGTTGAAAACATCTACTTCATACATATAGTTAAAATCATTTTCACCATAGTTTAATTAATCACAAATTTATCAAAGAATCATATAATTTTAAATTTTTGATCATATGGGGGCATGCACTGCATACAGCTTTTATCATAATATTTTAGGCAATTTTTAAAGATAAGTGTATAATAATTATTCATGCCATTTCATTTGTTATCATTGCACATTGACCTAATGGTGTTGTTTATTTGTTGGCAGAATAATTTTTGAGTCTTCAGATATGTGATATACATAAATTGTGCAATCTACTGCCTATATAATTCTTCATGTCATGCCAATAATCGAATATTTTTAAATATTGATAATTGTGAATGTAATTAGCAGAACTATAATTTAGTTGTTTAGTTGAATATACTGAATATTTGAAATAATGAGATATATAAAATAATATTTTGGTATGTATAAGGTATGAGAAATATGATTCTAAAGGGTTTCGGTTCCAGTTATTAAGGCAACATTAAAGCCAGTGTATATGTGTTTTACTGAGCAATCAATTGAAACAATGAATGGCCTATATTATAACCCATCTATTTTTTGTGTGTGATGGTCCTTTCTATTTCTGCTTTATTATCAATGAAGTATTTGTGGAATATGACCTTTAATAAAATGATTATTTATGCATTTTGCGACAGTGTTTCTCAACCATGCTATAGTACGTACTTAGCCATCATGCATTGTTCATGCCATTTTATAATTAGCTACTACGATATTGATTTTTAAACAATAATCTTGCATTGAAATAGGTGATGTAAGTAATGTAATTAGGCTGGCAATCTACAAATATGGTTTTATTTACTGTCGTATTGTTTCAAAATTTCATATCTAGTATTACTGAGTGAGACACATTCTCCTGTCTTAGCATGGCTCATCAAAGATTGTGTTTTAATGCAGCAGCAATAAACATGACCATCACTAGTAGGGCTGTTCAAAATCGAATGATTTTTTGATTCGAATCGAATATTTTTGCGAGAGTGGTCTAAGCTCGGAGCGCCGCCGCTTGACCAATGAAAAACATCCCGTAAAGGTGGTTCGAAAATTAGCCGAAAAACGATTTGAATAATTTGCGATTCGATTCGATTTCAAATATTTGGTTCGCTTGGACAGCCCTAATCACTAGTCTCCACTATCCTTAAGATTACCGTAATTCAATTTGTGATAAATTTTTTTATTTTTGTGCCATTAATCTTACTTTATAAAAATACTAGTTTTATTAGTTTAGTTTAACAGCATTTGTCATCTGATTTTTTATCCCACAAATCTCATGGATTGATTTAATTTTTCGTTTTATATATTGTTTGTGTGGTTTAACAGCACTTGTTCTGATTTTTTTCTACAAGCTCAAGGATTAATTTCGTTCTTCCATTTTGAATATTGTGATTCTGAAAATCATTTTATTTTGTCATAATTCAGTGTAAATATAGTAATATGTTTGAATGACGATGGATGCTAAGGACAAGTGGTTTCATGGTAATATATCTAGAGAGGAGGCTGAAGATCTTGTCAGAAAAGCTAAAGTGAATGGTAGCTTTGTGGTTCGTTCGAGTAGAAGTGTAAAAGGAGCATATGCCATAAGTTTATTGTAAGTAATTTACATGTTGGTAAGAATTTAATCAATTCTGTCCGTGTTCAAGAATGCAGTTTCAGGAGCGGACACGTGTGTCGGACGTTTAATATCCGCAACCTTATATTCACCATGCAAGATTATTAATATTCTCTCGACCATTGAATCGAAACACTATCCTATTGCTCTTCTAATATCATCAATTCTGTGGACTTTTAGTGAACACATATCTAGTTAAACACGGTAAACCTTTAATAATTTATTAATTGTCAGATGAGTAAAATTAAGTTCTTTCAGGCATTGTGGAAATGTTCATACTTACCGTATTCTTGCAACACCTGAAGGCAAGTTTGCTGTACAAACAAGCAGTGGAGTTCAAAATAGAAAGTTTTTGTCTGTAGATGACTTGGTAGAAGAATACAGAGCGCCTAAGAATGGTTTGGTCTGTGCATTAACAAATCCTGTTGGAAGAATCAGCGCTGTTCCAGGTCAGTGTCATACAACTTTATTGAGTCAGCATCATTAACGAAATATGATTCAAACAAGCTACCGTAGTCTAACTTTAAAATTCTACCTTTTGATGCTCTGAAACAGTGGGTCTTATCCGCTGGTCCGCGGATCGGTGCGGGTCCATGGCAACCTTGCTGCCGATCCGCCAAATATATTCCAATATTAATATATTCTAAGCAAATTGCAAAATACAAAGTATTGGCGGCATAGCTCAAAGAATTTGTTGAGTTGAGATTAAATTTATTTTAGTCACAAAGCTTATTGTTTTCCATTTTTGCTTTTGTAGCATTGTAAATATTGTTCATAAAATGTAACTTTTCACGTTATACTTACATGGCCTACCAGTCCAGGTGGGCAAAATTTTTGACCTCTGGTCCGAAAACCATGCCCACCCCTGGTCTAGAATCTAGATAAATGCATGTAAGTGTCTTGATGTATGATTTCACTACATAGGGATAGGGAATAAATACCACTTAGTTTTTATAATAATACGGCAGTTTCATAAATATTATCTTGTCTTGGAAAATAATACTTTATTTGTGTTTTATCAAAACTTGTTTCCATTTAACTTGGATTGTGAAGTCGTTCTAATTAATATAGTTGATATTCTTTTTAGCACTGCCAGAGAGAAATGTGGTTCCTACAGCTCCGAAAAATGTCTTGCCTTCGTACTTTGTGGTAGAATCAACTCCAGGTTTGTGAAACATATTTTATGAATAACAATATTAAATCATAATGTATCTGTCTTTAAATTTGAAGCCGCCTATTTTTAAACTTGAAATTATGTTATTAATAGTGTCTATCAATCAGATAGCAAGTTGCTGATGCGGCTTCTGATGGATAGAACCTGCCCAAATATGAGAATGAATTGTCCATGGAATAGAAAATAGTTAAATGCTTAAAATGCACAAATTGAAAAATGCCAAACTGTTAATCATTCGAATACAATCTTTTTCAACAGAAGTGGTTGAAGAGTCGATACGCAATTGTGTCATTTGCATGGATAGTGTAGTAAACACTTTTTTTCAACCTTGTGGTCATGTTTGCTGCTGTATGGATTGTTCAGCGGGTATTCGACAATGTCCACTCTGCCGAATAAGGATTACAAAGTTCCAGAAAGCGTATTTATCATAACATAGACAATGCTACTTTAACATATCCGAGTGCTTTTTATTCATTCTTTTATTTCTTCATTTGTATTGGATGGTATTCTACTGTACTGCTATTAGGCGAGCTTCTTTAAATATGCTCTAGATAAGCGGTTCTCAACCCTGTTTACTTTAAGGACCAAGTAAACAACCATTAACCTGATGACATATATAAGAAATACGACACTGTGTATTTACAAAAGCTATCTAGCATATTCACCTATGATGATTTAGTTACAATGAATGGTCAGTGACCTAGGAAGATTCTCACAGGTTCTGGTCGAAGTTCTAAGAGTTGAGAACCATTTCTATAGCTAGAATATGTATATTCCATATCTGGATTGTCCATTCTTTAATATGGTACATTTATGTTTTTATTTCTGTGCGCGTTTTTAATTGGTATATCATGTATTTAATTTGATCATAAGAGCTACTTCCGAAGCTTTTGATTAATCATATTCAAAAGTAATAAACTTTCATATTCATTCTTTTTTTGTTTGCGCATTGGTCGTTTTACCATCAACAGGAATGATGGTGCTATTTTTGACTTTGCAAGTAAATCATCTTAGGGCTAATATTATTCCCCATGTTCAATAAACGTTGTGAAAGCAAATTTCACATCCCTGCGTTCTGTTTACTGTTTTCATGTTCTTAATTACTGCTGGTTACTGTTTCATATATTCTTATAATAGGTTGTGTGACTTGAAACCTGGTACACTTAATACTCATGCATGGTATTCTGTGCATTAATATCGCATTTGATTATTATATCTTTAATTGCTTCAATTGTATTTTTTTCCCAAAAATTTGTTCCATGTAATTATAGCAATGTGCAATTTCAATACAATTATTTCATATGCGTTATAATTAAATTTTGTCTATGCAAAATCGTTTGTGATTCTTAATTAGTTTTAACTTGTTTAGGCGCTTTAGTAAACCAGTCGAGTAGGGCGTTCAACGGTATGAGCCCAAACAATACTTTGGCAACTTACGTACGCACTGTATTTTATTGGCAATAAATTTCTTAGATTAGGGTTCTTGTCAATACACAAGCGCATGGTACTATAAGACGAAATTGGTACATATTTTGATTGTAGGCAATAAAAGACCAGATGATTTGGCGATTGGCGCACGATCGATTTCCGGGAGGAAAAAAAGTGCACCTTACCGTCTCTAAAAAGCAGTACTGAGGACATTAAACATGTGACATTATTAGGTATTATTACGTTATATCTTGTTTAAGTTTAACGTGAACTGAAATCGGGTCATAGGTCTCTCGCTTCATTCAATTCTTTTAAAATTGTTTAATGCAGATAATGCTGGTCGTTGTTCAGCATCCGAAGATAATTTTTGTTTGATTTATTGTCACCATATGTTGGTCTCAAAAACCACGTATTTCTTCTGTAGTCTCGCTCATCGATATTCGCGCGGTATGGCCATACTGAATGCTTGTACCAAATTTCCATCTCCTTTTGTTTTGTACGTTTATGAAGCTTCCACATTTATTTTGTATTACAACCGTTATTTTTTTTTTTTGGGGTCTTGTGAGTCTCTGCTCAAGCTTGAACTCGACATTTTTCTCAACTTCCGGCACGAACTGTCTGTTCAATGCAGGAATTCCCAAATTTCGGTAAATTTTTGAAATTCGGTTGTTTGCAAATGGTGGACCATTGTCTGATATCATCGTATCTGGTTTGTGGTGTCAGCTGAAATTCTTCTACCAGTATCTGATTACTGACCTGACGGTTGCGTTGTTTAGTTTTGTGGTAGAATCAACCCAAGGTTTGTGACACATATTTTATGAATACTAATTTTTAATCATAATGTAACTGTCTTTAAATTTGAAGCCGCCTATTTTTAAACTTGAAATTATGTTATTAATAGTGTCTATCAATCAGATAGCAAGGTGCTGATGCGGCTTCTGATGGATGGAACCTGCCCAAATATGAGAATGAATTGTCCATGGAATAGAAAATAGTTAAATGCTTAAAATGCACAAATTGAAAAATGCCAAACTGTTAATCATTCAAATACAATCTTTTTCAACAGGAGAGGTTGAAGAGTCGATACGCAATTGTGTCATTTGCATGGATAGTGTAGTAAACACTTTTTTTCAACCTTGTGGTCATGTTTGCTGCTGTATTGTCCACTCTGCCGAATAAAGATTACAAAGTTCCAAAAAGCGTATTTATCATAACATAGACAATGCTACTTTAACATACCCCGAGTGCTTTTTATTCATTCTTTATTTTTTCATTTGTATTGGATGGTATTCTACTGTACTGCTATTGGGCGAGCTTCTTTAAATATGCTCTAGATAAGTTGTTCTCAACCCTGTTTACTTTATTAAGGACCAAGTAAACAACCATTAACCTGATGACATATAATAAGAAATACGACACTGTGTATTTACAAAAGCTATCTAGCATATTCACCTATGATGATTTAGTTATGGTCAGTGACCTAGGAAAATTCTCATAGGTTCTGGTCTGAGGTCTAAGAGTTGAGAACCATTTCTATAGCTAGAATATGTATATTCCATATCTGGATTGTTCATGCTTTAATATGGTACATTTATGTTTTTATTTCTGTGCGCGTTTTTAATTGCTATATCATGTATTTAATTTGATCATAAGAGCTACTTCCACAGCTTTTAATTAAGCATATTCATAAGTAATAAATTTTCATATTTATTCTTTTTTTGTTTGCGCATTGGTCGTTTTACCATCAACAGGAATGATGGTGCTATTTTTGACTTTGCAAGTAAATCATCTTAGGGCTAATATTATTCCCCATGTTCAATGAACGTTGTGAAAGCAAATTTCACATCCCTGCGTTCTGTTTACTGTTTTCATGTTCTTAATTACTGCTGGTTACTGTTTCATATATTCTTATAATAGGTTGTGTGACTTGAAACCTGGTACAATAATATTCATGCATGGTATTCTGTGCATTAATATCGCATTTGATTATTAAATCTTTAATTGCTTCAATTGTATTTTTTTCCCAAAAATTTGTTCCATGTAATTATAGCAATGTGCAATTTCAATACAATTATTTCATATGCGTTATAATTAAATTTTGTCTATGCAAAATCGTTTGTGATTCTTAATTAGTTTTAACTTGTTTAGACGCTTTAGTAAACCAGTCGAGTAGGGCGTTCAACGGTATGAGCCCAAACAATACTTTGGCAATTTACGTACGCGCTGTATTTTATGGGCAATAAATTTCTTAGATTAGGGTTCTGTCAATACACAAGCGCATGGTACTATAAGACGAAATTGGTACATATTTTGATTGTAGGCAATAAAAGACCAGATGATTTGGCGATTGGCGCACGATCGATTCCCGGGAGGAAAAAAAGTGCACCTTACCGTCTCTAAAAACAGTACTGAGGACATTAAACATGTGACATTATTAGGTAATATTACGTTATATCTTGTTTAAGTTTTATGTGGGCTGAAATCGGGTCATAGGTCTCTCGCTTCATTCAATTCTTTTAAAATTGTTCAATGCAGATAATGCTGGTCGTTGTTCAGCATCCGAAGATAATTTTTGTTTGATTTATTGTCACCATATGTTGGTCTCAAAAACCACGTATTTCTTCTGTAGTCTCGCTCATCGATATTCGCGCGGTATGGCAATACTGAATGCTTGTACCAAATTTCCATCTCCTTTTGTTTTGTACGTTTATGAAGCTTCCACATTTGTTTTGTATTACAACCGTTATTTTTTTTGGGGGGTCTTGAGAGTCTCTGCTCAAGCTTGAACTAGACGTTTTCCTCAACTTCCGGCACGAACTGTCTGTTCAATGCAGGAATTCCCAAATTTCGGTAAATTTTTGAAATTCGGTTGTTTGCAAATGGTGGACCATTGTCTGATATCATCGTATCTGGTTTGCGGTGTCAGCTGAAATTCTTCTACCAGTATCTGATTACTGACCTGAAGGTTGCGTTGTTTAGTTTTGTGGTAGAATTAACCCCAGGTTTGTGACACATATTTTATGAATACTAATATTAAATCATAATGTAACTGTCTTTAAATTTGAAGCCGCCTATTTTTAAACTTGAAATTATGTTATTAATAGTGTCTATCAATCAGATAGCAAGGTGCTGATGCGGCTTCTGATGGATGGAACCTGCCCAAATATGAGAATGAATTGTCCATGGAATAGAAAATAGTTAAATGCTTAAAATGCACAAATTGAAAAATGCCAAACTGTTAATCATTCAAATACCATCCCTTTCAACAGAAGTGGTTGAAGAGTCGATACGCAATTGTGTCATTTGCATGGATAGTGTAGTAAATACTTTTTTTCAACCTTGTGGTCATGTTTGGTGCTGTAATGTCCACTCTGCCGAAGAAAGAAAGATTACAAAGTTCCAAAAAGTGTATTTATCATAACATAGACAATGCTACTTTAACATACCTCAAGTGTTTTTATTCATTCTTTTATTTTTTTTTATTTGTATTGGATGGTATTCTACTGTACTGCTATCAGGCGAGCTTCTTTAAATATGCTCTATATAAGTTGTTCTCAACCCTGTTTACTTTATTAAGGACCAAGTAAACAACCATTAACCTGATGTGATGACATATAATAAGAAATACGACACTGTGTATTTACAAAAGCTATCTAGCATATTCACCTATGATGATTTAGTTACAATGAATGGTCAGTGACCTAGAAAAATTCTCACAGGTTCTGGTCGAAGGTCTAAGAGTTGAGAACCATTTCTATAGCTAGAATATGTATATTCCATATCTGGATTGTCCATTCTTTAATATGGTACATTTATGTTTTTATATCTGTGCGCGTTTTTAATTGCTATATCATGTATTTAATTTGATCATAAGAGCTACTTCCAAAGCTTTTAATTAATCATATTCAAAAGTAATAAACTTTCATATTCATTCTTTTTTTGTTTGCGCATTGGTCGTTTTACCATCAACAGGAATGATGGTGCTATTTTTGACTTTGAAAGTTAATCATCTTAGGGCTAATATTATTCCCCATGTTCAATAAACATTGTGAAAGCAAATTTCACATCCCTGCGTTCTGTTTACTGTTTTCATGTTCTTAATTACTGCTGGTTACTGTTTCATATATTCTTATAATAGGTTGTGTGACTTGAAACCTGGTACAATAATACTCATGCATGGTATTCTGTGCCTTAATATCGCATTTGATTATTATATCTTTAATTGCTTCAATTGTATTTTTTTCCCAAAAATTTGTTCCATGTAATTATAGCAATGTGCAATTTCAATACAATTATTTCATATGCGTTATAATTAAATTTTGTCTATGCAAAATCGTTTGTGATTCTTAATTAGTTTTAACTTGTTTAGGCGCTTTAGTAAACCAGTCGAGTAGGGCGTTCAACGGTATGAGCCCAAACAATACTTTGGCAACTTACGTACGCACTGTATTTTATGGGCAATCAATTTCTTAGATTAGGGTTCTGTCAATATACAAGCGCATGGTACTATAAGACGAAATTGGTACATATTTTGATTGTAGGCAATAAAAGACCACCCAATTTGGCGATTGGCCCACGATCGATTCCCGGGAGGAAAAAGGTGCACCTTACCGTATCTAAAAAGCAGTACTGAGGACATTAAACATGACGTGACATTATTAGGTATTATTACATTATATTGTAATATCCTCCTTTTGATGGAAAATCATCAAGTGCTCAGGGAACGTATCGATCGGGTTTGCGAGTGATTTTTGTTTGAGTTTAACGTGAACTGAAATCGGGTCATAGGTCTCTCGCTGCATTCAATTCTTTTAAAACTGTTCAATGCAGATAAAGCTTGTCGTTGTTCAGTATCCGAGGATAATTTTTGTTTGATTTATTGTCACCATATCTTGGTCTCAAAAA